CAGTGCATCGTCTGAGCTATCACCGTCACCGGGTGTCCCTACGATTATCTTACCACCCGAACCATTCACCAGCTCTGTACACGCAATGCCATCGATTGACATTAGCAGTACGAGTGCAGTTGTGATGTCAACACTGTACGCATCGGAATCTATCATTGATTCCGGTGGCAGCGGATCAGGAGACTCTCCAATAAATTCTTCACCTACCTCTGTTAGCCCTCTCATATCCACACAGGTGCCGGCGTCGGAGTCTCTGTTTGATCCCAGTGGCAGCGGATCAGGGAATTCTCTAAACTACTCGGTATCAACCTCTGTTGGCGCCCAAATTCCTACCCAGATGCCCAGCTCCCTTGCTACTCAATCAGAATCTTCAGTAGATTCTACAGGGCAGATTGTCTCGTCCACACGAGCAGTGGGTTCAGGGCAGGAAAGTGGTGGTGATGACGGATCCGGGGATGTAGTCGCTACATCGATACATACATCTGCGAGCTCTGTGCTGGTGTCACAATCCACAAGCGTTGTGGTTTCTGCGTCTTCCGTCACGCCTGGGTTGGGGGACGCATTCACGTCGGTCTCCTCAATGAATCCAACCGGTGTACTCTCTCCTTCTTCTGTTGTAACTAGCACCCTGCCGGCATCTGTACCACGTGTATCCATCACTGCCGTTCCTGACGAATCAGGTTCTGGCAGTCCGGGATCCGGGGATATGGAGACCACAGCAATAACTGTAATCTTTTCATCCTCTGCTACTTATACTGATTTCGTCCCGGTGCCGACTATTCCGCTGTTTACTTCGGTTCTATCTACATCTGGATTCATTCCGCTGGTGGAGACCACACCGTTTATGTTGTCTACTGGCCTGCCGTTGCTGGGGAGTTCCCAGATTTCGACAGCTGGCTCATCGCTGACAGATATTCCTGTACCGACCATGGTTGAAGCGAGTGCAACGGTGTCTCCAACGCTGGCGCAGTCTGGTCCCATCCCATCTACTGTCACTGCTCCCTCGTCGACAGTTCCAACATCCGGTGACGGGAGCGGTAGCGGCGATGTACCCAACTCTGCTCATGTCCAGTCGTCATCGCTTGCGGACCGCGACGACCAATCTGCAACAACTGTGGTGCAGCCTAGCCTTCCTGTATTGTCCACTGTGGACGGTAGTGGCGATAGCGTGGTATCAACGTCCGTAACTCCACCAGAGTCGACAAGCAGGGATAATACCGCGTTGGTGTCTGCATCAACAGCCATACCAGTGCCGGTTTCACCGACCGTAGAAGGCAGTGGAGAGGACTCCGTAATGATGACGTCACTAACGCCTGTTTCGTCGCCCGTCGTTCCTCCCTCTTCTTTTGCGGCCACATCCACATCAACAGCCATACCAGTGCCGGTTTCACCGACCGTAGAAGGCAGTGGACAGGACTCCGTAATGATGACGTCACTAACGCCTGTTTCGTCGCCCGTCCTTACTCCCTCTTCTTTCGCAGCCACATCAACAGCATCTTCCTCCGTGGATGCATTGATTTCTTCATCGTCTCTAGATGCCGGAAGCGGCTCTGGTGAGGGATCCTCTACAACATCGGCCATGGTCTCACTCGTTGCCCCGACGACAGTGGACGACGGCAGCGGAAGTGGCGAGCCGTCCACGATGATCCAGCCAACACCAGTGTCGTTTCTTCCACCAGAGCCGACAATTCCCGTGTTTTCCACATCACCCAGTAGCGACTCGTTCGCAACTTCAAACCTTTTCACCAGTAGCACGCTTCTATCGATGCAGGACAGTGCTTCATTGTCCAGTGTGGTGAGCATCTTCCCTAGTGACATTGATAGTGGTGGCTCAGGATCCGGACTGTCAGCGAGCACAGAGGAGCCACCGGTACCAACCCTGGTAGTGCCGTCCGACACGAGTCTTGTTGCATCTGTTCAACCTGCAACTCCACTATTTACCACCATCATGACTTCCTCGCCTTCTATTCTCCATTCACCATCTGCGAGTGATCCACCACCTTACTCTGTTGTCATGACAACCTCTGTATCGATGGATGAAAGCGGAGCGGGGAGCGGAAGTGGTGACAATTCGCCCGTCCTGTCGCCGATGGTAACTACTTCTGCCGTGGGTATGATGAGTGATGCAAGCTCGTCGACGGACATCCTACCGAGTCTCGGCACATCGGTTCCAGAAACACTCGTACTGTCTAGTAATGAAGGCAGTGGCTCTGGCTTGTCAATAACACCACCACCCGTCCCCTTGTCCATCACCGATGTGCCAGTTCCGACCTTTATCGTGGAGGAGACAACCACCGTGATGTCGTTCGAGCAGCCCATTTCTAGCCAAGGATCGTTGTCCTTGCCGCTACCTACTTCAACACCGGTAATATCTTTGTCGACACTAACATCCGACGGGTCCGGGGATGACAGTGGAAGCGGCATGACTCCACGCGTTCCAACGTCTCTTCCTTCATTTACACTACTGACGTTGTCGCCGAGCATCACAGCCATCGCATCCTCAGCCATGCACCAACTGTCTACTGTGGTGTCTTCCGATGGGTCCGGGGATGGGAGCGGAATGACTTCAACATTTCCTTCTACTTTTCCTTCATTAACACTGCTAGCATCGTCAGCGAGCAGTACAGGAACCACATCCTCGGCCGTACAGCAGCTGTCTACCGTGGTGTCTTCAGATGGGTCCGGGGATGAAAGTGGAATGACATCAACTACTCTCCCTTCATTGACTCTGTTAGCATCGTCAGTGAGCAGTACAAGAACCACATCCTCGGCCGTACGGCAACTGTCTACCGTGATGTCTTCAGATGGGTCCGGGGATGAGAGTGGAAGTGGCATGACGTCGCCAGCACCGTTTTTCTCCACGACCACTCCCTCGACACCGCTGTCAACACCACCGCCTAGCTCATCACCAACGGAAGCACCGACAATAATCGTACCATCACTACCAACATCCGTTGTGGTGTCCATCTCCGCAACGATCGTTCAATCCGGCGATGGATCTGGTAGCGGAGGCGGTAGTGGTGACACAGCTAGTGTAGTTACTTCCCTGTCCACAGTGCGTTCAAGTGGTGCAGTCGATGAAACTACATCAATGTTCTCTTCAATGGGAACACCATCCAGCCAGCCAATTGTGGGATCCTCTGCCAAAGTTGAATCTACACAATTCTTCACTTCGTCCAGTGCAGCATCGAGTGGTGATGGTTCCGGAAGCGGCGTAGGGGCGACAACAGATGTCCTCGACCTAAGCAGCATGACAATCAGCGACCGCAGCAGCGTACCTTCAACTCGCGCGGAGACGGTAACAGAGACTGTGAGTTTGTCTCAAAGCGTTTTGCTGCCTTTAACATCTGTGTTCAGTGGAAGCGGCAGTGGCAGTGGTGAGCCATCCCTCGTAATGAGCTCTGAATCGGTATCAAGCCATTCACCGAGCATAACACCATCAACACCATTCGTTACGTCACCAACAACAGTATCGATTTCATCGGCAAGTATGGTTGATGGCTCAGGCAGTGGTCAGACCATATCCGCATCGTATACACATTTGGTGTCGACCTCGACCCTCCCTGTTACCGAAGCGCTGTCAACTTCAATGGCTGACTTATCATCACCAAATGTAGAACCCACTTCTACATTCACTGACGATGGCTCTGGTAGCGATAGTGGGGAAAGTCCCATCATCACGCCCACACCAGCCATGTCAAGCACCACCGACTTACCTCCAATCCCGACAGTTATGCCGCTTACGAGCTTGAGTAGCGACATCGGTTCTGAGGTAGGAGCTACTGTGAGTCAGCCAGTAGCTTCTACAGTAATCACTTCTCCACTGGCGTTCTCTGAAACGAGTCGGGATTTAGCAAGTGTTCTGACAACTTCACAATCGATCACGTCGCCCGATATGATAAGTTTCGCTCCGTCGATGTCGGTAGCTACTGGTGTCAGCGTGCTCACATCAGCTTTAGCTTCTACACCAGGACCAGAAACAATCACCACCCCAGGACCATCAGGAAGTGGCTCAGGGGATTTCCCCACGACAATATCACCGAGTCCAGTCAGCTCCACAGCTCCAGTCCTCACGTCTTCGTCACCGCTGGTCGACGAAACAACAACTGCATTGCTTTCCGATTCTCCTTCCATGCCCATTCTGGAAACGATCTCTTCTGAAGGTCCGTCCGGAAGTGGTTCGGGTGACTTTACAACTATGCCAGTTATTATCCCTGACTCTACAACTCCAATGGTCAGTCAGCCCGATTTCTCCACGATTGACGCAGAGGTAACGTCTGGTCTGGGTACTTCTATCGGTATGGTGAGAACTGTGTCAATGTCACCAGCAGCGTTCACGACTCAAATCTCACCGTCTTCTTCTATCCCGGCCCCTTCAAGCAGTGGATCGCCAATCGGAAGTGGCTCCGGGGAATTCCCCTCGAGTTCTCTACCGGAACTGCCGACGCCTGCGTCACCGTCGACCGAGTCAACCGCACTGTCATCGCCCACCATTGAAACTTTGAGTATCTTTCCATCCACAGAATCCACTATATCATTATCCATTGCTCCCACTGCTGCTAGTACTCCTGTGCAAACCAGCACTGGTACTGACTCTGTCAGGGAAACTAGTATTCTGCCAGGCTCCGTTGTTGTTACTAGCAGCCTGGCTGTCTCTGTTGTGGATACTAGCAACGTTATTGGCTCCGGATCGGGATCAGGTTCCGAGGGACCCGAAACGCAGTTTGCAACCGCGTCGCCGACTCTGGCTACAATATCGTCTGGTGTGGCGTCACCCAGCGGGATCATGGTCACTGCCTTCACGAGCACAGCGTCATCATCCACCATTGTCGATATCCCAGGCACAACGATGTCTAGCCGACCAGGGATTGATCCATCACTTCCTACAGTTCGGTCCTCCAGCATGCCCACTGCGATTCATCCATCTGCCACGGTTGACTTTACAAGTTCAACGATAAGCATGACAGCCACACAACCTGCTGGGATGTCATCTGTTGCTATTCCAACTACCGAAGTCGCAATGATCTCCTCCTCCTCCGACGCAACAAGCACTGTGATATCCCGCCCGTTGGAGCTCACAACAACAACTTTTGTGCTATCTTCAACAGGACTCACAGGGACAGAACCATCCACCACCGTAGAGACAACACGCTTCATGACGGCAATGTCATCCGACGTTGGTGCTCCACTCCTATCAACGGTGCTGACCGAGTCGCTTTCAGTGTCATTGAGTGATATCACTCTGCTGAGCACGGAGGATTTCTTCAGCGCTCTTTTGTCTGCAACTACGCCTGTTGAGCCACTGCTTTCCACGTCCATCGAAACGATTCGCGGATCGTCGTCAGCAGACATCGTGCGCACAACGAGCCCCACTGTTGCAAGCTCACTCATCTTGCCCGGAGAAACCACTATGATGTCATTGGAAATCCCTGTGACATCATCATCATCTGTGCTACCCGGTAGTAGCACCGAGCCGGTACGTGCTTCGCCAGTCGCTACTACCACAGCCACATCAAGTAGTGTGTCATCTGCGGCACCAGCGACATCATCGATTGCCCAGCTGACGTCATCCATCTCGATTTCAGATCCCATCATGTCGTCACTGACAGTAACCACACCGACACGGTCACTCACTGTGGTGCCGAGTGTGCAATTGAGTGTTAGTAGTACCCAGTCCATGCTATCACAACCTGTCAGTACAAGCATAACCATGGTTACATCAACAAGCTTGGTTGAATCGACAGCGACGACAAGCCGTATGCCTGCACTACCAACAACACAGCCACCGGCGACGAGTGCGATCACCATGACGACGGTCGTCACAAGCACTGAACCCGCTACTCTAGAGCCAACGACTGCTCCGGCTGAAAGCAACATTACCACCTCGTTGCCAATAACGACAGAGCAGCCAACAAATGACAGCGTTACGAATGCAACAACCGAAACTGCAACAACCGTGCCGATTACGACGAGTGAGAATACGTCAACTACGCAACCGCCAACTGAGCCGCTAATAACTACGCCGCCCGAGGTGATTGTGACGACAACAGAACCGGTTGTACCTAACGACTTGTGGGTCATTGTTCGAATCGAGTAAGTATGGTACAAACTGAACTAGTCTAACTGGTGTCCTAACGTCATGAGATTGCAAAGATCACTTTTGATCCTAGTGAAAATCCCATTTGCCTCTCAAGAGTGCATGTGGTTTTCCACATAGTGTTGAAGAGTGGCTGAAGTAATAGAAAACCATTCCAACAAGTGGGATGGCTGAAGCCGTGTGCAAAGCTGTCCTCGTTACTCCGTTGCATGACCCAATGCTAGTTTGTGTATCTGCGCGTGCCTCAGTGAGGGTCTACGCGTGGGTGTGTGCATAATTACACATGTACATGTGTACCCACAGGTGTCTGTGCATATGTACCCCTGGGTTTACATATGAGCGTCAGGCTAAAAAAGGGTGATATTGTCCTCACGTGCACAACTTAGAAAAGGGCACTTGGAAAGCAGGGTACTCACTTTCGGCTTGTAAAGTTGCCTTCACATCTATGGCCGTAACTTTGTGATACTTCGAGATTTTTCAATATGGTTTTCTGCATATGCATCAGCGGGACTTGAAGTTTTAGGTACGCCGTCTAATTAAATTTGGCCAAAAAATGACAATTGCACCCTTTTCTCAGCCAGAGGCTCATATGTGTGTACATGTGTGTGTTTATGCCCATGTTTGTGTACGGGTGTGTGTATGTGGGATTATGTGTGTGTGTCTCTGTACATGGCATTATGAATTCACTTATCTGCTCTATTTTTCTATCACCCTGTACATTCAGGCTACCAAGTGACAATGCAGAGCAATTGCAGCTCGGCTTCGGGTTGTCCGAGTACAATCGCCGCAAAGAGCAACAGCTTTTGCTTTCGTATTTTGAGGCTTTGGTGCAGGAAGAGCAGCTTCAGGCAACCACCAGTCCTCCAGGCGAGCGTCCTCCAGCTGAGGAGAACGCGGAAGGCAGGCGTCGGCGTAGCATGGCCAGCCTTCTTGTGGCACTACTGAGAACGAAGAGACAGACTGGTGATGAAGTGCGTGTCAATGTAAGTGACAAACAGCACTCAGTATTGTGGAACCTTACACCAAGCCTGCCCCCCCCCCTCCCCCCTCCCCCCCCACAGCCAGACGTTAGGGGGGTACGAGGGTACAAGTAGCACCCTGCTTCAACCCTTCCATTCTGGGTGGTGGTGCTGCGAACACGATTTTTGGGCCTAAAATCATGTAGGGCTAGTTCAAGTCTTTCTGGTTTTGTTCTGGATATCCACGAATGTATTGATTTTTCTTGTCGAATCGTTTCGTATTTGCTTGCCCAAGAGTTGAACCACCTCTGTGTGCCGCCATGCAGGTGACCGGGACTGAGCTCTCGCCCACCTCTGCATATGGCGACATCTTCATGTATGCGCGACGGAATGGTGAGGTGGAATCTCCAGGACGGGTTGCCTCACTACTTGGGGAGACCCTCCCCAGGACGCGTCTCAGCAGCCTTATTCAGAGCTCGGTAGGTTTTGTAGTATCTTGCGTGTGTGTTTTATAATGTGTGTGTGTGTGTGTTCGTGCGTGTGTGTGCATGCGTGTGTCCGTGTGTGTGTGTGTGTGCATGTGTGCATGGGTGGGTGTGCATGCGTGATTGTGCGTGTGTGGTAGGTGTGAACTATGTTTCAGGAAGGTGAGAAAATGACTGTATGCTTTGTTTCTGGTATTGAATATCTCACCTGCACCTTTACCGCTCAACTCGTGTTTAGTATTCCTATGGTGCGAGATCATGCTGTGTTTCGCGGTAGAACTTTTTCTCCCGATTTTTTTGGTTCTGACGTTGAATGTCTCGCCTACGCCTCTGTTTTCTATTATTCTTATTGCGCGAGACTCTGCTGTGTTGGCGGTAGGACTTTGGTATAAAACTGCACTTTTTTTGGCCTGCATGGCATCATTGTTTCGTTCCTACCTGACGATGGCACTATTGCGAAAACGCTGTACGTTAAGAATTGATTCGGTACTTTGCAGTGCTTTGAGGATCGGTATGTCCAGCCAACTACTTTCTCCATGGTTCTGCTGTGTGGTTGCTATGGTTGCAGGTTGTGGGAGTGTACATGTTTGCAGCCAGACCTGAATTCCCTGAAGTGGGAGCAGTGCCCGGCAGTGAACTGCCTGTGCCCGAGTGGGGGATATTTCTCATTGCTCTGGGCGGCGTACTCTTGATCAGCCTGATCATCATCCTGCTCATTCGGAAGAGGGGACGCACTAAACGTGTTGACATGCTTCAGGTGAGGACAAAGCCAATGGCATTGGTGAATGGTGTGTAGCCACGGACTCTCTGACTTCGATATTCTCTTACATTCACCGTGACACTGCGAGACTTGTCTGGGTCAAATGAGGTCCATGTGAGCCGCTGCGACCGAGATAGGTCCCTTTGCAGCTACATATGGTCTTCAAAAAGTAAAACGATTCCAGGTGCTGACTTAGTAGTCCTGACTGATCTGCCCTCAGGCACAAGCAGTCAAGCTTATCACGTTGTTATTGTTAAAAAAATTAGTTCTGAAGACAGGACCATGTGACGTTGCTATGTGACGTTGTTACATTACCTCTTTCCTGTTCGGCCTTTTATCTATTTGATGTCGTTCCCACTGTAGAATGCCAGCGGTGATGAGAAGATTAAAATTATGAAAAATTTATTTGAACATTTGCATGTGCTTTTTCATTTTAGAGTTTTTTGGTCTTTGCCGTTTGCGCTGGATTTTCGCCTTTCTCCTTCCAGGCTGCCCTGAGGACCGACACAGAAAAGGGAGTGGTCTTGACACAGCATGGCAAGAGGCGCAAGGCATGGCGCTCTGGACAGGGACAGGGAGAAGAGCTGCCGGTGATGATGGAGCGTTCCGAGACCATGGACAGCCGGCAGAGACGCGCACTGTCACCGCTCGGTGCAGCACTGGAGAACAGAAACGCCGAGTAAGTTTTATCCCGCGTGTTTGTTTCCCGACAGTAGTATTGTTGTAGTGCGTTATTTTGTGTGCGCGCGCGTGTGTGTGTGTGTGTGTGTTTGTGTGTGTTCTATGCACAGCCTGTATATCCTTGTTTGCCTGATTCAGTCATTCATTCACCCCCCCCCCCCCCAAAAAGAAAAATTACAAAATTGACCTCGTTGAAATTTTTGGCACCGAATGCATTGCACAGCACACACGACCAAAATTCAATGTGTCCTTATCGCAAACATCTATGTGAAAGCTTAGACCTTGCTGCATGACGATTACATAAGCATGGAACTCAAAGTAGCAGAAACGGGTCTTGTCTTGTTCTGTGTATCAAAGCTTAGGCTTCTTTTGCCTAAACTCGCCCATGCATCTGTGTGCTTGTCCTTATGACAGAGAACTTGTTGCGTACAGAGAAGAGCAAGAGATGATGGAGGGTGCACCAGGCGAAATGGGCGAGGAGACCAGCGACGACGAAGCATTCGTTAGAGCAGCTCCGAAGGCAAAGCAGAGGACCAGACCTGGCAAACCGGCAGAGCCTGCGAAGCGCCAGTCAGCGTATGTCCGGGTAAGTACAATAATTACTGATTTTGATACAGAGCACATCCGCTGTCAAGACGTTCGGATGGAAGCCATACAGTTTACGAACTTGCCGGTGGAAGACTGAAAGATAGGGGGAGAGGGGGAGTTGGTGCGAGAGAAGAGAGGGAAGGGTAATTGTGTTTGGATTACACAAATCTGTAACGGAATTTAAAGCCGGCTTTTTGCTGTAGAAGACGAAATCAGTGCTAGGCTTCTGTTAAAGCCAGCCTTTTATCAGGACTAGGTATTTCTACGTACATGTAGGTCCACACAAAAACAGGCTGGTGTGCCAACAGTAAATCTTGAAACCGGGCTTGTATCCAAAGTGGGATTCTATACGGGGCATGCTTGAATGCAAGACACTACGTTATACGCAAGTAGCTTACTTTTCTTCCAAGTTGCGCTCTGCGACGTACTCCCGTGTCCTTGATGGGCGGTCATGCTCAACTAGCAGATTCTCAAACTTGAAGCTCTGCTCTCCCCAGCTATGAAACAAGATGGGCTTCGAGAAATAGCGCATCACTTTCCTGGGCAAACATTCTGCCACGAACATTTCGGGCAAACATTTTGAACAAAATGTGGATCATTACAAAATCAATGGATAACAATTCCGGTTACAAGCAGTCGGATCAACTTTCCACGTGCATAGTACCATATGTTTGGTTTCCATCATTCAGTCTCCGAATATGTCTTGAAAGTTTCGTTGAGGTATCAAGCTTCCGGTGGCGAATGGTACGTTGATGGATCATTTTCTGTCCCTGCCGTTGATCCGGTGTACTCCTTGATGTTGCTCCCGGTCACATGTTCCTGGCTACACAGTATTCAGTGTTAGACAGTTTCCTTCAAATCAGAATCATTCACGTTGGCTCAACTTCTACTGTTCACAGCATGGAGTGCTGGGTCTTACCAGCGGTGGATAGAAAGGTGGTTGGCACGTCACCTTCTGCGCAACCTCCTCAGTAAACTTGTGTTCCCTCCACTCGTGTCTAGGCGAGTGTTGTGGAAGGCACGGGACGTATATGGAGTCTAACCTACATGGCATCTTGGACTATACGCAAGCAAACAGTATTGCTGCGTGCTCTCAGCTTCTCTTCAGCCGTCCCCTACCGCTTGTAGTTGTTGTCCTGGCGCGGCAACTCCAAGGAGTAGCTTCTGCTCGGAACAGTGCGTCGTTTGCAGCGTGGACATTCAAGGGAATGTTGAGCAACACGTTTACAGTTTTAGACCGTATCTGTGCAGGGGCAGAAAGAACATTGCATGGTTGATACGGACACACTGATAGATCATAAATACTTGAAAGTTGCAAAACAAACAGCCGTTTAGTGGCCCAAAAATAATAAAATTAACTCAAGTTTCCTCGACTCATGTCTAGGCAAGTGTCGTAGAGGGCACGTGAGGCATACGGAGTCTTGCCCTCAAGCGAACAGTTCTGGGGTGTGTTCTCCGCTTCTTGTGCTGGCCCCTACTGCTGAAAGTTAGTTGTCGTCCTGGCTCGGCAACTCCGAGGACTAGCCCCGGCTCGGCACAGTTCGTCACTAGCAGTGTGGACAGTTCCAAACATAAATGCAGGGTTCTCGTGCAACGCTGAGAGCTTATGGTGCCTTCTAACCCCACCGTACAGCCCTCCTGAAGTAGAGGGAAGCCTGTCAAACAGACAGGAAGTTGGCCAGGTGGCAGGAAGCATACAGAGTGGATAGTGCACCTCGAGGCTGTAACACTGGCTGAGGCTTGTCCAAAACTATTTTGATCCAGTCTAAACTATCCACCGTATAACACGCCTGAACAGGACACTTGACAAACAGATGGAAAGGCCGGCCGGCGGCAAGCAAAACGAGCAAATAGTGTGCCTAAAAGCAGGAACACCGGCTGAGGCTCTTCCAAGACTATCTTGCCCCAGTTTACAACATACTTGTACTGCCCGCTCATTCTCAGTAGTCCGAGTCAGGCACAACTCTCCGCGAGGAAGTATGCGAGTACGAGCATGCTTTGAAAAGCATGCACAATCAGCCATTGCGTAAAGACGACACATCATTGGGTCTCTTTAAAAGACTGTTCAAGGTACCACGTGCCTTCAGCGTCTGCCTCCTCCCGACCACCATTATCCACGGAACCAAAATACCAAGCCGACCAGGAAATTAATAGTATGCCATACACTGTAGCGAAGGCAATATGAGCTGTACTGCGCCCTTAAGATGATCAATTCACCGCTTTGGCATCAGATCATCATTGGTTCGCAATGCATAATCGTAAGCACTAGCAGGAAATCTACCTTTTTTTGTCCCATTTACAGTTTGGCAAAACCACTACCTTCTTGCCTTGAATGATTTTGTTGGCGAAAAAATTGACTCGTAATTTATAGACCTCGTTACTGTTTTTTTAAATTATGTCTCTACTCTTCAGCTGAGATGGGAAGTATACTCGGATGATGTGTTGCTGCATATCAGTTTATCTGTGTGTGTGTGTGTGTGTGTGTGTGTGTGTGTGTGTGTGTGTGTACGTGTGCGTGCACGTGTGTGCATGTGTGCGTGTGTGCATACACTTGTGTGTGTGTGTGTGTGTGTGTGTGTGTGTGTGTGTGTGTGTGTGTGTGTGTGTGTGTGTGTGTGTGTGTGTGTGTGTGTGTGTGTGTGTGTGTGTGTGTGTGTGTGTGTGTGTGTGTGTGTGTGTGTGTGTGTGTGTGTGTGTGTGTGTGTGTGTGTGTGTGTGTGTGTGTGTGTGTGTGTGTGTGTGTGTGTGTGTGTGTGTGTGTGTGTGTGTGTGTGTGTGTGTGTGTGTGTGTGTGTGTGTGTGTGTGTGTGTGTGTGTGTGTGTGTGTGTGTGTGTGTGTGTGTGTGTGTGTGTGTGTGTGTGTGTGTGTGTGTGTGTGTGTGTGTGTGTGTGTGTGTGTGTGTGTGTGTGTGTGTGTGTGTGCATGGGCGTGTGCATGGGCTTCTCTCTTACAGGCCGCCGACAGCGAAGATGAAAATGAAGACGAGTACCTTTTTCCTTCACAGCAGGGCACGGCCGAGGCAGAATCAACTTTGCCGACAAGCAGACAGGCACGCGTTATGCTCTCTGCCAGCCCGATGTTGCCATCGCAGGCCGGAGCAGCCATGGTGGAGGACGGAGAGACAATGGAAATACGACCAAGAAATGTGCATACAATTCAGGAGGCAGCATCTCCGCAGCCGTTCGCCGAAGACACCGACCTTTTCAACTTCACAAACCCTATGATGGTGAGAGTCGCATATGTAACGCAGACCCTCATCGTACATATGTTACTAATGTGTTTGTTCTGGAGGTCGACTTCAGCCGTTCTGGAGGTCGACTTCAGCTGTACCTGTGTGTGTACCAGTGGGGATTAGTATGCATCCACATGGCTTTCCATTGACAACGTGTGTTTGCTGAAGTGCTCTGGTATCTGCTGTGAGTCGTCCTGTTTCGATGTGCGGGTGCGTGTTTGGCCTGCTTCTAGCCCGTGAATGCATTATTATGACTGAGTGCATTTGGTGATTGGGTTTTTTTCTGTTTTCGCTTAACAGGAGGATGTCGGCGCGGACTTCGTATTTGCAAACGTGTCTCAAGCAAAGAGGAAGCCATTGGGAACGCTAACCGGTGGCATTGCTGAAGGGACTCCGGCAAGTCATGAGGCAGCAGGAACAGCGGCAGTGAGCGAGCTGATGCTAACGGGTCAGGTACGGTCAAACCCCGTCTTGGAAATTCTATCACTGGACACTATTGTACTCAAAGTCTTCTACTGTCGCGGACATGGAAATCCAGTTGATTGCCCGGGGAGCGCCTTCAGCGCGTACAGAACGTCGTTGCAGCCAGTGCACATGTTGATCCGATGTGACCAGCACGCTGCTGCGGCGTGCAGCGCATAAATGATAGGAATGCGTGAACGGTAGGCGTGCTCACGGCTGCATGGCCAGCGCCCTGGGGCCGCTAGACGTGCGACCGGTTTTCCATTTCCACGACAGTATCATCAGTCACTGTTGTACTCAAAGTCTACTATCACTAGGCACAATCCTACTCAAAGTCTACTATCACTAGGCACAATCCTACTCAAAGTCTACTATCACTAGGCACAATCCTACTCAAAGTCTACTATCACTAGGCACAATCCTACTCAAAGTCTACATCACTAGGCACAATCCTACTCGAAGTCTACTATCACTAGGCACAATCCTACTCAAAGTCTACTATCACTAGGCACAATCCTACTCAAAGTCTGCTATCACTAGGCACAATCGTAAGTCTACTATCACTAGGCACAATCGTACTCAAAGTCTACTATCACTAGGCACAATCGTACTCAAAGTCTACTATCACTAGGCACAATCGTACTCAAAGTCTACTATCACTAGGCACAATCCTACTCAAAGTCTACATCACTAGGCACAATCCTACTCAAAGTCTACTATCACTAGGCACAATCCTACTCAAAGTCTACATCACTAGGCACAATCCTACTCGAAGTCTACTATCACTAGGCACAATCCTACTCAAAGTCTACTATCACTAGGCACAATCGTATTCAAAGTCTAATATCACTAGGCACAATCGTACTCAAAGTCTACTATCACTAGGCACACTCCTACTCAAAGTCTACTATCACTAGGCACAATCGTACTCAAAGTCTGTTTGCATCGGCAATCAGCATCTCTAGGTTGTCAACTGATTTGTTTCTAGTCCAGATGGTACCCGCCTCCTCGGTGAACAGTTGTCAAACGATCTCTGTGCGTGTTGTAGCCCAAGTTTGTGCATCTGTTATGGGTAGTGAAAGGATGACAATGCTGCAATTGCACTGCAAAAGCTCTCAAAAGTACTGAACTGGGCAAACGTAAAAGAAAATACCATCCGTTCATGAAGAAGTTGCTGTCAAACTTCAGTCTTCTGGCATTCCTACTCTTGCCAGTAGTTGCTGGCTTGATACCCGACTTGTACCTTCAGCAGTCTCTAAATTGTTTGCCTTCCTCTCCCGAACATGTGGCTGTGTGGTGCAGGTCGAAGCGGAGTCTGCCGGACGCAAGAGCAAACGGCACAAGGACAAGAGAAAGTCATCGGACGTGGAGAGGGAGACTCGTGATGCACTGCGAGCCCAGGAGTCGGCCGTGCGGATACAGAAACAAGAAATGTGGGCGCAGTCGCGTGCAAGTCAGGCCGAACAGGAGATCGAGGAAGCTAACAGGGCAAAGCATAAGGTACAGCCATTGGATATACTTTTCGGGGAATTTTCAAGTTATATACTGGAAGGTCATACATTTGTCGCCATTGAAATCCGACAAGCGGGTCAAAGTTGCACTGTATTTTCATTTCAATTACAAACGAGTAGAAAATTCCGAAGCGGATATTGGACGATAAGTGAGGGTCGTTTAAAAAAATATTCTTGAAAACATTCACTAGAAAATTCTCTTTTGTCAAGCGAGGGAATGACTCTTGGATGGTTAGTATTGCGCATGTTATCGCCAACTGAATTATGTTCCTTTCTCTCCCACAGGTGGCTGAACAGCGTGGTGAGCTACCGGTGGGTGCCGACGTGAGAAAACCACTGCCAGCTGTCAAGTGAGTGCTATGAACGTATGCTCGCTTACATATATATATAGAGACAAACACATATACACACACTCTCCCTCTCACACAAGCACACACACACACTGTCACACACACACTGTCACACACACACACGCACTCTTTCTCTCTCTCTCTCTCTCTCTCTCTCTCTCTCTCTCTCACTCTCTCTCTCTCTCTCTCTCTCTCTCTCTCTCTCTAACACACACACACACACACACACACACACACACACTCTCTCTCACAAACACAAACAAAACACACACACACATATTCTCTCTCTCTCTCTCACACACACACACACACACACACACACACACTCTCTCTCTCTCTCTCTCTCACACACCTACACACACACACACACACACACTCTATCTCTCTTTTTACACCGGAGATATTCTTTGTTATTCATGTTTTTCCCCTGACCCTGTCCTGGGACTGCCGTTGCAGACGACAAAAGCAACGCGAGAAGCGTGCTAGGAAGTTCTCCAGGAAAGTGCAGCCTCTTGGTGACTCCGACATCGTCTACAGTCATCAGCCACACGCGGTTACCCAGGACTTGCGACAAGCAGCCGGGTACCGACCAAAGCAGCCTGACGTGTTCCAGAGTGGTGCAGCTACAGCAGCCTCGGAACAGCGGGATGAAACTGAGCCTGGAATGGCAAAGAAGATGGTGAGTTTTGCATCCGTTTTTTGGAATTATATTTTACAGCTTCTGATGATCTTCAGCATTACATGGATATGAAAACAAGACGTAGGACTCGGAAACAGCTCCCCCGTAGGTCACCTTCTTTGAAAACCTCCTTCAGACGACCTGATTTATATCCTTGCCTGATCGTGTATTTGTATAAGGATGAATAGGAACTGGGCGGCAGGCGTTTCCTTGGGTTCCATTGTTGGGTTGGGGATTGGGCTGTGTGTGTGTGTATGGGTGTGTGTGTGTATGTGTGTGTGTGTGTAGGGGGGGGGGGGGGGGGAGGGTGTGCACATGTGTGTGTGTGTGTGTGCACATGTGTGTGCGTTTATGTACTGTCGTGGACATGCATATCCGGTCGTATGTCTAGCGGCCCCAGGGCGCTGGCCATACAGCCGTAGCACGTTTTATTATGCGCTGCTGCTGGTCGCATCGGATCAACATGTGCACTGCTTGCAACGACTTACGTTCTGTATGCACTGAGAGCGCCGGCCTCGGTCAATCGACTGGATTTCCATGTCCGCGACAGTACATGCATTCAAGTTTTTATATCTGCATGCATGTGTCTGTGTGTCTGCGTGCTTGTTTGTCTATCTGAATGTGTTTGCGCTTATGCACCTGACTTCGCGAAACACCCCATTCCCAAGTGTCTATGTCGGTGGCTGACAGGCTTCTACATGTCGGTTCTTGTTTGATGTTCACTACACAGAGTGCTGTGGACGTTGCCAAGGTTGCGCGCCTCATGGTGGCCAGTGTGGATCCACGCTCACGTCAACACCAGGACGCAGTGCATGAAATGGATATGTTGACCGGGGACACCGCCGAAGCACCGCCACTCACCTCCTACAAACAAATCGGTACTGGCGAGGTAAGGAGAACCTGGAATGTGAAGGCAGCAAGACGTAGCAGCCCCATTGTAGTTCGGTTTCATGGCCATGTGTTCCTGAAGTCAGGCTGGCGGTGGGACTGGTGCCATCAGGTTTCCATGTTCACTCTTTTAACCCATATACCGAAGCAGCTGCTGCTAGTTGGTAAACGCTGACGCTCACAACTCACCTCTATGCCTTTCAAACTGGTACTACACTTACAGACTCGGTGCACTGCATATTCCTGGCAACAAGGGCAGTGTTTAGCACAGTGAACCACCTAACACATGTAGCACGTTGAGAACATCAGAAGTTCTATTTCTCAAAATACTGTATACTTGGTAAAGTGCCGGAGGCCCGGAAACACCTGAAATACTCTCGGCTCCACTTACAACAAACTCCCATTACAGCTAATTTCGTGATACAGCAAACTGTTGTCCATGTCCCAGTTTGAACCCACAGGTGTGAGTACATTTCTGTTATTACGAACTTCGGCTATAAAGAACAAATTCTCTGCACAATAATTATGTTTGTTATATCAGGAGTCGACTGTACATTGTTACCTGATATGTTCACATCTCTGCTTTTTCAGAATCTCCGGAGACGATCCAAGTCTCCACCGACTTTGGCAGAGGGTGGTGTAACAGTTCCTGTAAAACATCCCGATGAAGGAGATGCTGCTGTTGGATCTCAACAGGTTCTAGCAAGCCGTCCCGCGGTCGACACAGCAGCGGAGGTCGACGGCAGACGAGCCGCAGACCCGGTTGCCATAGCATCACCAACGGCAACCGATTCGGACGTGTCACATGACGCGTCTGCTGTGTCCGCACGGGCCCACTTACACCGTGTTGTGGACGAGGCATTCTCATTGCTGGGTCGTCAGCGTCGCAGATCTGCTACTGTTGCTCCAGCAGAAGGTAAGAGGTTTTTCACTCGCAGAGCAAACTGTTCAGTGCATGGGGTATTGGTCTACCGAAGCAATCACACTCCACAAATAACAGCTAAACCGAGGAAAACTAAAGACCACTGCACGAACATATTTCTGTGAAGGAAATTCGGTTTTTGCACTCTTTCCCTACCCTCAGCGGTGAAAAAAAACAAAACCTTTGTTATTTTCACAGCTAAGCGTAGCGAAACAGTGCAAACGACTGATTTTGCCTCACACTTATTTCAGCAGTCGAGTGTGATTGCGCTGGTAAACCACCATCGCATTAACTGGACAGATGCTCTCTGAGTGAAACACAGCATGTTATGATCCAGTTTAGGTGTAGATAATCAATGTTTTCCGCGTGTGCAAAGCTGGAAAAGGATTGTTGCCTTCTGCGTATGAATAAAATTTAGTGTTGATATCATAGTGACCTGCCCTTTTCCAACGTCAACTGCTTCCGAAAACGATGTATGAGTGAACGTAGCAATAGTTTTTTTGCTGTCTCTGAAGCGAGTATTGTTTAATTTCATTAAGGGGGTGGAGGTGGGTTGAGGCGGTATCGCGTCGTGAAGTATAAGAAGGTCACTTGAGAAAATGTTTTTATGAGCATGTGGATAACCATTTCATGAATCGAATTTATACTTCCATGAAAACGCTTCAGTGTGTTGTTAAATTTGTATTTCTGGCACATTTTTTGTGCTGCAGATTTCCTGTCAGATTCGTCCACTGGAACAAGCAGGAGGAAGCCCTCTCGCAAGCATAAGCCCAGTCAGGACTTGCTGCGCCTTGCAGAGGCGGCAGAGCCATTCATCGCCAGCTACAAGCACCTGAGCAGAGAGGAGCGCTTGGACTTGTTCGGTGGTGGACGCCAGCGCAGTACAGCGTGGAGTGAGGCGTCCACAGACACGGATGCTGGTGCAACCAGGTATGCTCTCTTGCATATTACAAAACAAATCACAGATATTAGTGTGGTGTATAGTGATTTGCGCAGTATTGTCTCTCTCCGTACAGTCTCTCTCGGCACTCTCTCTCTCTCTCTCTCTCTCCCTCTCTCTCTCTCTCTCTCTCTCTCTCTCTCTCTCTCTCTCTCTCTCTCTCTCTCTCTCTCTCTATCTCTCTCTCTCTCTCTCTCTCATCTGTACTATATATGCACACACTCGATGTAAATAAGCCAGACCTTGTGTTTCCTTGCAATGGACTCGTGAGTGGCTAGCAGGCCGGACCTGATACCTAGCACAAACACTGCATGCTTGTGACAGTGTTTTCGATCTTTGGTTTCACACTACACAGCAAATCACATTTCAACTTACTAACAGAATGAAAACTAGTTTGTTACAGTTTTTTCAATCATATAGAGCACGATCGAATGACCTCGGTTGACGAATTTCTTTTTTCATGCTAGTCTCACGAACACGCCCGGTTGCGTCAATAGTAAATAGCTGAACGAGGCGGGGTTTTAGTCGTGTCATAGCTATACGATTACATCTGAATTTCGGTGAGTCATTTGAATCATTTCCAATCTGAAGAGATTCGGCTGGACAGCTCATGCAAATCCTGCATTGTCGTTGAGGAGCTAATGAGAAAGGTCAATTTTGACGGTCACATTATACACCTCTGCATTGCTAAAGCCCTGTGTGTACTCGAACTAGCTGTGGGCTTTTTGGACTCTGCATGGTGGATACCTGCCCACCGCAGATTTCTCGTACACTGTTTGACAACAACATTGGCTGACCTACGTCACTGGGCGTACGCCAACAGTATTTCTCTTATAGCGTCGGTAGCGGAAACGATCTGAATGAAACAGATCAAGACTAGCGCCAAACAGCTGCCCAATCCACACAGCTGGTTTACGTGAATCGAAACCAATCCACACCTGGTCCACACCACACCGTGCATATAATCGGAATAAGACGGGGACGGCCGAGACATATCATAAACAAACCACCGTATGTTTTCCATATCAGTGTCGACTATGGGTATAGTATAGCATGTTGTCTGGCTTTCTGTGTACTCTATGCGTAGATCCGCGGCTAAGGCAAGACCCAGCAGGGCAGCACCTTCGGCGGCAACCGCACGGCCTCAGAATCCGATCGCATCCAGCACGGCCAAGGACAGCCAGATCAGCAGTTCATCTGCCGACGACACCTCTGACCCGGACACGGCTGGTCGTCATGGCGCTGCAGCAACACGGCGGGGTAAGAGCCAGCAGCAGGCACAGCGACAACAGCCTGAGCAGAAGAGGAAGGCCACACCAGTAGTTACGGCATCAAAGAAAGATCCAGGTGAGATTTTCAATCTTCATTCAGCGATCAAAATTGCTTCTAAGCGTTTCTACCTTTTCTGGGTTATGTAAATGCTGGATGGTGTACCAAAGGACAAGGATGAAGATGCTGAGACACACACAAGCAGGCAACGACAGTGTTTTGGTGATTTTTTTCTACAAAATACACATATCTCCAGACACTGGGGTGAATAATGAAGTGTGGTGCTGGGGCCTATTAAGCTCAGCCGATCAGAAGTCTCGGCTTCATAGCTCCATGGATGCACCAAAGGGGGATCGGGTAGGGAGGATTAACCCTTTGTGGACGGACTGTACGAGTTTCGATCTAATAAGATCGAAACTTCGTAACTTCGTAACTCCATCGTTTCTTGAGCAAATTCCACAATCGAAGGGTCTACGTGGTAGCGGGAACTCCAAGCTGTCCAATGCAACAATCGCTGAAGAGTTACAATGTCGGACGCCAGAGATATCGCACGCCGTATTCTTACCTCGGCATATTCAAATTTTTGATCGATCATTTCGCCATTTTGGGGGGAAATCCCTTTTAGTGTGCTCTTTGAGCGACTGAGCACATGATTATGACGTAGCCGGCTGAAGTTCGAATCGTCTCAAACAGATTTGAGCGTTCTGCGATGAAGGAGAGTGGAATGGCGTTGATGGGACGAATTTGCTTGCATATCAGGCTTGGAGACGACTTTGCTGTGTTACCGCGCCTGATTTGTGGCGGCCGGATAATGGAGATTGGTAACCTGACGTAGCTCTCGCCAAGAGCTTTCCAAGGAGCCCTTGATTGTGAAAATCAAGTGAAGGACACCAAAGTTATGACATGGAAAAGTTGAAAATTGTACTGACATTTTGTAATTCTGGTGCATACTGTAAGACATGTTATTATAACGAGTCCCAAATTTAACGATTGTCCAAAATCCATAGGTTAACGAGAAGATATGTTAACGATCTTGCAGTATTCTGCCATATCCACACACAGCATTATATGAAGCAGTGCGGCCTCAACGGATCTTATTATAACGAAGAAATGTCATCCGTTAAAACGTTAGATTTGCTTCCTCGTTATATATACATGTCTTACAGTACTGTGCTAGTAATCCGTCCATAAAGGGTTCAGTTTTCCTGTTGTGATCAGAAAAGCGAGCTGTGCATAGCCAAAAAGTACACTTGTGTTGTCCTGGACGTCTTCATTACTGTCTCTTAGGACGGGTAACTGAATAAAAATGTACATGAAGAAATTGCCCATGGCGTCCGTACTCGGGGCATGACTCACTTTTCGTATTGCTCTAACATCCATATCTCCACGGATTTCTTTTCCCTTCTAGAAGAGTGGGGTATTGTTTCAGATCATTACGAAATCCTGGTGTGTTCTGTTGATGGTGAATATGCTCAGGGCAAGATGATGTACACGGCACACCAGCATCCTTGTCCCATCAAATCCCAATGGCCCGACGCCACCAAGCTGTCCCCGTGATGCCCACGTCAACGCGGCCCACTCAGCCGCCGAGCCGACAACAAGAGGTGCGTTTTGTCAACTTCAGTGGCCGACCAGAACACAATGTGGTCGCGCATTGTATCCTAAATGTTAAAACAAAGTTTTATTTCAAGCAACGCTTGCAAGTTTGCCTCAATGCAGATCCAAAACAGCACAATTGCATCGACGGATAAGGCATATTTCCAGGCGTCGTACAAGTACAGTGAAACCTGGTTAGGAAGAACACTGATAAGACAAATGTTTGCTTAAGAAGAACTAGTATTCGCAACTCCATTGGATAAATCACTACGTATTCACTGGGTATACCAGGCATAGGGATAAGAAGAACTCCCGTTATTGCAAACAAATATCATCGGTCCCTTGGTGTTCGTCCTAAAGAGGTTTGACTGTACTTGAATGTCAGTTGACATTTCATTCAACACATGTTTTAATGTGAATATGCCCCTTTCCTTTGCCTGTTTGTTTAGGTCAACAGAGTCCTGGATACAATTGGCCAACCACAATTGGGACGGGGTCCTACAGGTTAGTATTTACATGCACATTAATCTAGTTGAGAACATCTACTCCAAACACATTCGACGACAACACTGTTCAGATAAAGTCAGCGATGTATTTACCTTACATGCTGGTGTGAAGGATAACTTTCGTACAGTAATTTTGGCATCCCTTCACTTCTGCTTGCATTTCTCTCCCCCCCCCCCCCCTTCAGCACTGTATACCTCGACGTTTAGCGGTTTCAGCGCCTTTGCCTTTTCTGCTGTTGCGCTGTGTGTGTGTGTGTGTGTGTGTGTGTGTGTGTGTGTGTGTGTGTGTGTGTGTGTGTATGTGTGTTTCTGGGCATGGATCGCTAACTTTGTATGCACACTCTCTCACTCTCTCACTCACACACACACACACACACACACACACATACACACACACACACACACACACACACACACACACACACACACATATACACACACACACACTCACTCAATTTCACTCATCCTCTCTCTATGTATGCTCTCTGTGTCTCTCTCTATCTCTCTATCTTTCTCTCACTCTCTCTCTCTCTTTATCTCACTCTCTCTCTCTCTCTCTCTCTCTCTCTCTCTCTCTCTCTCTCTCTCTCTCTCTCTCTCTCTCTCTCTATCTCTCTCTCTCTCTCCATACCACAGAAGCATGGTCAGCTACTGCCAGTCCAGCAGGTCCTGCTCTGTTTAGAAGTCCAGTACCCATGGTAACTGAAGTCACTCAGCCGGATGGCCAGTCCACAGTAGAGGCAGCAGCAACAGCACATCAGCCTACACCAGCAGGTGTGATTGGTGACTTGTCCACAGTCTATCCAGCAGGACCTGCACAAGGCGTTGGTGCCGCACCAGCACAGTTTGCAGCACCTGGACACATGATGGAGTCGCAACTAGCCGGCGGCTTTGTCCAAAGCCAATGGGCAACAACGCCGGGTGTAGTTGAGACCCCGACTGGAACGCTCAAACTCACACCAGTCCAAATTACCCGAAATACCCAAGTAAGCACACTGTCCGCAAAGGAATTTTCCAAATAACTTGTGCAGAAATAGTACAAATAAACACTTAGGTCTATAGTGCACGCTTTCGGCAATTTCCTGTGGAAATATTACTACTCTTTTGTCATTCTTTTTGTGAAATTAGTGACGTCATATGCCATACCCATGCCCTTTCCCCATCAAAATGTACGTGATTCGGAGGTATGGATATTTCAAAGTAACGGCCAGTGGCCAGTCCCGGAGAGCCCGAAAACAAGGTATGGGTATACACACAAAAACGACAAGAGGGAACGTGTTGTGATAATAGAGTAATCCGACAAGGCAGAGGTAAATACTGTCGTCGGGAAGCGTATGGGCATACAGGTGCACAAGCCAACTGTACGGGAACCACCTATGGACGTGGGGTGCCACATGCATCTAGCAAAGTGTGTTCGCTGAAAACCGTGAGCATGACAACAATGCGCAGCTGATGGTTATCGGGAAACACGTAGCAAAAAACTTGTATTTGAAGTTTTTTCGTTTGGGTTTAAAAAAAAAAATTTTACACATGCATTTTTCTGATTTCTTCTCCAGTGTATGTTTTTTTGCATTTTAATCCATTGTGTTAATTTTTGCCCGTAAAAGAGGCTTCTAATATTCTTGCGGGGAAAAAAGAAGAAAACAACACGTAGCCCGTAACCTGTGTCGTTATTAGGATCTCTTAAATGTTTTTAAACATTAAAAATCTTTTTTATGATCTCTTAAATGTTGGCACGTCTTGGTTGTTTGAACTGCAGGGCCGTGAAGTTCTGACAGCTGTTCCTGACGCACAGCAGCAGCAGCAACAGCAGGCACCGGGAGCAGTGTATCCGCTAATCCAGCCGCAGGCATTGGGGGTAGGTTCGAGAGAACATTGTGTTTATCGCAGTTAGAGCACTCTGACTGTTTTCCTTTAACATATGCTTTGTTGTTCATTGTACTGTATAAGTACAAATTTTTGTTTGGAATTCGTTAGGGGCACGAAATAACTAAAGTTTGTACCAAACTATAATTTTTTTTCCTGAACGTTCGGAGTGACAGACCTCGACGAAAAACGAAATTTAGTACGTAACAAGCCTGCTGGTGGAGTTATCTAACGAAATAATTTGTGAATGAAAATTTGTGCTTATACAGTATTTCATTGTGATCGGTTGTTCCAGTAGCTCTGAGCTCTACTGATGAGATCTAGCAAGATCGAAACAGTTAGCTGTCGGAAGATCATTTATATTAAATGTTACACACAAGGGAATGGTCTCAAACTGCGGAGAGTGCTCAATGCAAGCGAGGCAGAGCTTCATCACACACAAGCGGAAAAACCGTCAGAGATCAAATTCCATTACACAGTGTTTCACCGTTCAAGCAACGGATCATCAGATGGATCATCAACGGTTTTCCGCTTGTGTGTATTAAATGTTACATGTAGTTGGAGCTGAACAAGCCATCCAGGCTGCCTGAAACACATGTCACTGAAAACCTGGTCATGTCACTCTGTTTCAGCCATATGGAGAGAGCCTCAGATGTGGTTTAACTATCTGAGAAAAATGTTCCCGATAATAACCCTGGTTATTCTAACTCCTGCTTTTGTGTATGTGTATGGTGCGTTTATGGGTGTGTGTGTGTGTGTGTGTTTGTGTGTGAGTGTGTGTGTGTGTGTGTGCATGTGCCCGCTCGCGCGCATGTATGTGCGTGTGTGTGCGCGTGGGTATGTGTGTGTGTGTGTGTTTGGTTGCATGCGTGTGTGCCTGTTCATGCCGCGTTCTCCAGGTGACACATCCTGCAGCAGCGCCAGCGCCCGTACCCACTACTGTGCCAGGACAGTACATGTCATCTGCACCTGCTCCTCTCCCACCTGGTCCTCTTCCACCTGGTCCCGGTGGTCTGGCTGGGAGCAGCACCGCGCAACTACCTCCGCATCTAGCAGATCACCCGCTTCGACCGTTACATCGACATCGTCAAGCCGCCCCAACCCTTCATTCACTGTCGATGCAAGCACCCGTACCGCTTCTGAACACAACGGGCACGGTTCTTCAACCCAGCGGTCTAAGTGCACAGACAGCGGGTCCCTCTCAGCAGAGTGCTGGAGGATCAACTCACAGTCCACTTGTTGCTGCTATTCGCCAGGAGCTGCTTCGCATGTCAGTACGACCCTCCTCGCTTGCCCCACCGCAGCCACTACAGCCCAAGTCGCAAGCACCCCAGCGGCAGCCACAGCAGCAGCGGCCGCCACAGCGAGGACAGCAGAAACCTGGCCAAGGACCTCAACCACCGCCACCGCCACCACCGCTACCGCCTTGAGACTAGCTGATAGCTGCCCACGTGAAATTCACACACGTACAAGGTAACACTGATGAGAATGGCTGGAGTATATAGGCTCTTCATGCATATGCTCCTGCACTGGTCTATTCATGATCTTGAGCTGGTCAGATGGCACGCAGGGAGCACATACCCTACTCGCACCGTCGGGAATGAGAAGACCGCTGAGCTGTGCTCTGTACTAGCCATCGGTGAGAACACTTGTCGCCAATACTCAGCACAAAAATGCAAGCGCGAGTCACACACAGGCAGAGTGATGACATCCACGCACCCGCATGCACATACACACACTCCCTTGCCAACGGCACACAGCACACTCCCTTGCCAACGGCACACAGCACTCCCTTGCCAACGGCACACTCCCTTGCCAACGGCACTCCCTTGCCAACGGCACACAGCACACCCTTGCCAACGGCACACACATTGTACCAATAGGTAGGACATAATCCGAATCAGGTAGCATCTGACTTTTTGAATTTTGAATCCACTTGATCATGAGATAAATTGGCTGTTTATGTATCATGTGTATGTTCTCTCTATTTAATTGTGAGGTCTTGGTTTTTATCCAGCTTGAAAGTTTAGTTCTTGTCTTTTGAGCTCTTTATTGATTACTCTGTTCAGAGTAGGTGGCCTGCATTCAGAGAACAGAGTAGGTGGCCTGTGTTCAGAGAACAGAGTAGGTGGCCTGTGTTCAGAGAACAAGAGTAGGTGGCCTGTGTTTCTTACCGAGTGTTAGCTAGATTATGTGCACCTTAAACAAAATACACTTATTTTTTGTCTTCAGTGCGTGCGATGTGTGTAGGGGGAGGGGAAAGTATGTGGCTCTAGTTCGCATGTGCGTTGCAGTAGTAGTGTGTGCATGTGCGTTGTGCATACAGTGGAACGCTCACAGGGATCTAGCTAGCCTAGAGATCCAGAGCTATTATAAAAAGAGATGTTGGTTCGCTCACCATGACCGTGTGCTTGCTAGCTGAAAAATTGAAATAAGGCAGAAGACGGCCAGCAGACGCATTTGTGCTAATACAGATTGCATACTAATATTGAGATCAGAAGCGGTGTTCAGTCAATGGACACTCTATAATAATTTTTTGAAATGCTACCTAGACATCATGGCTTGTTGCGATGTGTAGTTAGTCATTGTTACTATCTCATTCACTGCTCCACGAAGCAACGGGCTGTCCTTGTTGTGATCAATGATCATTCACTGCTCCACGAAGCGATGGGTTGTCCTTGTTGTGATCTCATTCACTGCTCCGTGAAGCGATGTGTAGTCTTTTGATCCGGACGTTGTGGACGTGTGGGAGGCAGCGACGCCATAACCCTTGAAGCGTACTCCGACTGGTGAAGTCCCTGGTCTTGGAGCATCTCATATATACGCATCCGTGGGTCAGCCATCACCTGGATCAGGGTATAATAATAATAAGAGTTACAGTTCGCATGTCACTCATGGAAGGATCCATGGGGTTAACACATCTGTCAATGAAATCCAGGCAGAAGAGTTGGCTCCAACAAAAGGCATCTCAATATTGTCAGAACATGTTGCAGTTAGAACAACTACACAAGCGCAGCACATTTTTTCACAAGCATCAGCCATTTTTCTTGTTCAGAGCCAGTTCCAAACAGTCAGAAATATCAATACTGTGGGTGCTTTATATCATTATGAATATTGTCAATCCATCTGAGATCAGGGTATGCACACATACAATGCAACACAAGTCCCGTTAAACGACTGCACCACAACCAGATGCGGTGCAGTGATTTTTGCAGTGTCACATACTTTGAACTATTTCCAGCTGCCGTGATAGTCTGCACTGAATCAAAGCCGAGGCAATGTACTGTCGTGGACATGGAAATCATCCGGTCGAATGACGCTGGGCCGGGTCCTCAGTGCGTACAGAACGTTGCATGCAGTCCACGTATTGATCCTATGCTTACGGCTGCATGGCGAGCACCATGGGGCCGCTTGGCCTCCGACCGGATATGCATGTCCACAACGGGATATCGCTGGCCAAATGACTGGCGTAGCATTAAGCAGGGTCATGAAACATTGTTCTTGACAGGCCAAAGTTTGTTGCTGGTAGACTAGCTCATGGCTATCCAGTACACAGTTACTGGTTTAATTGGGTGTAGTACGTCCATGGCCAGTAAATTATGTATACAGTCAACTTTGCTAACAACGATTGCGAATATAACGACAATTCGGGAATAACGACAGAATTTCCATGCCCAGAGCAAAGTCCCATCCCACTGTAATACATATAATGAGACTTCAGGTATAACGACACTTCGCGAATAAGGACACCTTGCTGATGCCCCGCCGAGTGTCGTTATAAGCGAAGTTGACTGTACACGAGAGGAGATACCTGACCTCTGTCGGCTATAATGTTCTAAGCTCTGTCTCTGAGCCCCCTCTGTAGCCCGGTGGTCTAAAAGTGCACACGTGGGCCTGACTAGTAGCTGTGGACGGTACAGCTACCGGCAATAAGTACAGCAAAACCTGTCATGGAGACCACCTGTTCTAAAAGACCACTGCAACCAGGACCAAGGGATGCTATTTCCAGTCAATTGACCCTGGATAAGGAGAACACCTGGTAACAGAGACCAGATTTTGCAGGTCCCTTGAGCGGTCGTCTTAGACAGCTGTTTCACTGTAATCTCTATTCACGTACCTTTTCAGAGGTGAACGACTTTACATCGAAAAGCGGCTGCTGCATTGGCAATGCGCTGCCATCCAGAACGGCATCATGGCGATGCTTGGCGGAAGCCTGTACAGTACAGTACAACATCAGATGCCTAAGCAGTCAAGACAGGGATGGATTATATATATATATATACGGCGTGAGTACGAGGGGTGTAACACCGACTGTTTTCATGAGTTTGTTAGCACGAGTGGACTGAGAGGGACACATGATACACAGAGTACAAAGCTAGAGTTGGTAATTCCTTGGTTTTGTCCCAAATGTGACAAACGCTAAAGCTCCCTTATAATTATACTCTTGGCGTAACCAAAGCCAGGTATATCTTTGAATCGAATCAACCGAGCGAGGTACATCTTTGAACCCAATGGGGTATGTTGCTGAATAAACCCCGCTCAGAATGGCGACTAATTTGCTGAAATTGCACCAATGGGATAACCTTTGGTATGCTCTCTATTGATATTTTATGTTCAAAGTAAAATACTTCCTCCGCGTCATCGAAATTGTCACAGTTTGACTAGTGACTTGTCACTTGTTACTGACAACTCCATAAGCTAAGCCATTCAAAACTTATTACACAGTACGATAGTCTGAAGACTAGAGTAACGTTCCAGAACAGTTGGAGTGAGAGTTTTCATGCAGAGATGAAGTCCTCGTCGTCGCTGATGTCAATGGACGCAAAAATTTCGTTCCGAAATATTTCAAGGAAGGTTGAAAGTTGGTCGCGCCTCATCTCAAACGCTTTGACTTTCTCCACAGGACAAGAGCTGCTATGCTTGTCGTCTGCTAGCTCTGGATGATTTCTACTTCACCACCAACGAAGCCTAGTAAGAATACACGATCGTTGCGAGGTCGGTTGATTACCGTCGGCGGAATCACCTCGATCTTGAAATGAACTTTTTTTAGCCGTGGCATGCCCATTTATTTTAGCTGTTTGGTCACAGCTCATGCAGCTCATGCAGCTCAGGTAAGTGTACTATCGCATCCAGCGCGCCCTGTTTTTCAGCATCACTGATATACCATGGTACGGCACCTGCGCGTGCATCACTAGCACTACGTGTAGAGTCTACACGGCTCTTGCAGGTACAATCATGTACTGAGTGTCTCAGCTAGAGCGACAAATTTTATCGCTGTTGCAGGCATTTAGTTTGCTGACCCCTCGATGTTTCTCCAAGCGCTGCCACTTGTTCCACGAAGTCATTCTCACCCCAGCTAAGGTAAAACAGTGATGAGGCTTGAGTGAATGGCCATAAGCACGAGAAATGTGCAGGCTGCAACGCCTCACTGATCTCCGCGAGTCGAAATTACCATCGCAGCGACATCAGCGAAGAAATTGCGTCTAGTTCAAAAATTCCAGCTTCCAATAACAGAAAATAGAACTTTACCGTCACCCTATACTGATGACTATCGCCTATATCCCATTCCCTGCCTCTGGTACGAGTGCTGGTGAGTAAATACCCCGTTTTATATCAAAAGTCAAACTGCGACAATTTCGATGACGCGGAGGAAGTAATATTATACTGTGAATATGATAATGATCATAGCCATACTTCAGCAAAACTGAGGACTTCACAACTGCAGCGTCTCTCAACGAAATATTTTCGCGTGAGTCAAGGGTACGATACCCCGTTTTATATCAAAAGTCAAACTGCGACAATTTCGATGACGCGGAGGAAGTAATATTATACTGTGAATATGATAATGATCATAGCCATACTTCAGCAAAACTGAGGACTTCACAACTGCAGCTTCTCTCAACGAAATATTTTCGCGTGAGTCAAGGGTACGCTGGGTGGTGCGCAGCTCTAGACCTGTAAGGGAATGTTCACCCTACTGATAAAAAGTGACTGACGGGGAAAGTTTCCAAGGTGATTTCATCACATGACGATACTGGCACATTACTTGCGGAAAGGCTTTACTGCCGCGGCTGCTGCGGCAGTAACTGCATTACGGCAGTAAAAAGAGTGCTCAGAATGGCATGAGGGAAAATCCCTTTACAGTGCAGCGGTGGGAGCTCCAAAACGTATGTAACGGTAACGCTTTTGAGTGGGTTTTAAAATCATGAAATGTTTCGGCTTGCAAAGCTAGCAAACAATTCGGGGCCAGTATTGCCAAAAATACATTGTACTGTCAACCTGGTGGATAACAGTCTCGAGTAGACCAACAACTCACGATACTGGAAAAGCCATTATTCTAACGAGGCGCATATATAACGATTTCCCAAAATTGACTAGTTTACGTGTACCAAAGGTAACGATTCTCACTCATTCTCAACGCTCAATAGGACAGTATATGTATCGATTTCTGTATAACGATTTCTATTTTAACGACAGATTTCTCCTCGTTAACTCGTTAGAGTTAGCACTTCGTTATACATATGGCTTTTACAGTACTATCTTCGGACCTAGTGATATTTTCACTATAGACGTTCAACCTCACGAATATGACAACTTGCGCATGACGAAACAATTCCCACGATCGGGGGTCATCGTCCATAAGGTCTAGTCTATGTACATATACGCACTTCATACCAGGCTCTTACCTCAGTGTCTTGCAGCACTCGTGTTGGATCGTCGGCAACATTGACGGCCACCGTAGCCCTCAGTTCATCGAGGCGTCGTTCTCTCTCCTCGCTCAACTGCCGCAGTCTGTGCTTCTCGCGTTGCTGCAGTTCAACGCGTTGCTCAAGCTGATCCTTGCGGAACGCAACCCTAGAGCAGTAGAAATGGTATGAAATGGATTCGGGCTGTGACTCACAACTCCCTGAAATGGAGAGGTGCTGCATTTCGAATTTGGGAACATTTCCGAAGGCGGGAATGACCTTTGATTCGACTGCTGCTTTCCGTTCAACTTTTCTGGAAAATCAATAACTCCACTGATTCTTGAACCCATTAGTTTGATAGATATTCTGAAAATTGAGATGCAGAACCTCTGCAATAGGAACTCTTAAGAATGCTAGGCCAACAAGAATGCCGGCTTCGCCACCTGGTGCCGTGTGTCAATGTTGCAGACGCTCCGACCATTCCCCCGTCAATCAGTAGTTGGGGGTGTCAATGTTCGACCCTATATCCCGGGGAGCAAGGTGTATTTTTCATGGTACTTTTCGTGTCAAAAATCCCAATGATTTAGCAACCAGAGCTCTCACTCTCGCACACAAAGAGGACAAGAAGGCTTGCTTCCAGTGGGGTAGTGAAGGCAACATAACTGTTGTCTGAGTATTTTGTGTGAGCCGCTGGCCACGCATTCAAGCCCCGGCTATGGGGACCTGTGAAGCATAAGTAAAGATACTAGGTAGAGCCACTGACTTGCAAGGCAAAACCTAGGTCCCGTGCATTTACACACACACGCACGCGCGCACGCACGCACGCACGCACGCACGCACGCACGCACGCACACACACACACACACACATGTTGACTCACCAAGCCATCAACAACCTCTAATCTTACACCTAGATACATACACGCACGCACGCACGCAGTGGGTGTTCTGCATGATTGCACACACCTCTCACGGTCATGTTTGAGTTGTTCTGCCAAGACAGCCTGCAGCTCAGCCAGCTTCTTGACATTCTCCGCATGGACTCGAGCTTGTTTGTCTTCCTTTTGCTTTTGGAATACCTCCACCTAGCAGACAAAGATAATAGAGATTAGAGTGTGCGTTAGGGTTGTAAAAGGTGATGAAGCTTCACTGTTACCGTCTCTAGGGGCACATACAGAATTGTGAATAACAGCAACAAAATACATGTAGCCACAAATACTATAACTGCCATCCAGCCTTCAGACTCTTTTGTTTATCACCAATAACCCCCTCCCCACCCCCCCCTTCTCCTACACACTCAGTGTCTGCTCTAGGATTTCAAACCTACGGGGTACAGGTGTACGTGGCATAACTCTTCCAACTGGGTCAGAGGTGGGTATGTTCGAATGCAGCTACTGCATGTACATCCGGGAGCCGTAAATATTTTAGGATTCACCGATGTATATGTAGCATATGATCGTATTCCCAACAAGGTCACAAGTGACCAGATGTTCTTTTTCCAAACAGATCCAAGTACCCCGACCAGATGTTCTTTTAGGCCCAAGTCCCCCCCCCCCCCCCCACACCGGGTCGCTGTCCCGGCTGACTCAGCTCTGAAGCAGACACTGACACTCATTTCACAGTCATATCAGAGGGTAGAAGGACATCTAGACCAGGCAGGCAGAATAAGTGGTCCATTTGTTCCTCTGAGTAATCCAATTTTGTTGTCCCGTACAAAACCTGCACAGCTAGCACTTTTCAACCTCTTGATGCCTAGGTAGCGGATTCTAGAGTGAGTAACAGAACCGACATGTGATTGAATGAGAAGTAGATTGTCTAGTCTGCCTAACACTACAATCGTCATCAGCAACTGCACAATGGTAGTTATCAATTTTTTCAGTTGAACTGGTTAGACCACCCTAAACACACCTTTCTCTTCGTCGCGTCACGTTTCTTCTTTGCATCTTCTTCTTGCCGCCTTGCGTTCTCCAGTTGCTTTTCTTGCTCAAAGGCATGGATGGCCTCCTGGAGCTTGGCTTCCTCAGCACGGAGTGATCTCATTGTCGCAAGCTGTGCAAAACATCCACATAATCCAGAAAAGTGCAGGGAGCAAATATTTTTTATTTGCAAAACCTGTGGTGCACGTGTGAGAGATTTGCTCACAATGGCTTTCTTAATCGGAGTTTTGCAGATGAGGCAATGCATCAGTGTGCAGGGCAATGTACCTCTCACTCACCTGCTCGTTGAGCCGCTTGCACAGCTCTGTTTGCGCTGAGTGCAGCTGCTCGACTGCCTGCACCTCGGCAATAGCACTGGCGTTCTCTCTGAGCGTGGCTTGCAGATACGTCAATAGTCGTTCACGCTGTGCAGCACTGTCACGGGCCATGCTGTCCAGACGATAGTGGAAGTAGCGATGAGACAAACACCACTGGTACTGATCATCCTACGAGGACACCGCAAGGACACAGTACAAAAGAAGGGCTCTCACTGGCTGCGTTCGATTATGCACTTGAATCGATTCATGAATCCATTCGCATGCATCCAAGTCGTTCGATTTTCATGCCACGAGCCCTGGAATTGGTTCGGAATCCATTCACCCTATTCACATCTGGTGATTTGAATAGCGCGAATCCATTCATGAATGACTTCATGAATTGATTCGCGGGCATAATCGAACACACTCACTGGGTAAAGGGTAGATACTATACTCGCCCAAATAACATGGTGAATGCTGCATATGGTAGCCGACTACCATATGCAGCATTCACCATGTTATTTGGGCGAGTATAGTTTAGTGTCGCCATGTGTCTCTCTCCCACAAAAATGGACTATAGATCACTGCGAAGATCCCAATGGGAAAGAAAGTTCGCGCTCCACGTATCCTGACATACAGAGAGACATAGACAATAATAGCAACAGCACACAAATTGAAGGGTGGTTGGCCGCAGCCAGATCAATAAATGCAACTTTTGGCACGTTTGAAACTCAACAAGCAGCATCCACTGCTCGCATCACCTGCGAAATGGCATTCTGAAGGTAGGGGTGGGGAGATGGCTGTGACTCCAGCCTCCTACATGGGACTCCAATCAGGACTCATATTCTGGTTTCGACCTCATGACCAACGGCAATCCATGAACTGCACATTATCCTGATGAACACCGGTGATCCGTGTGAGTGTGTTAGTCGTAAGTAAGGATTTAGAAATCATTTACACACCAACAAAATGATCGACTGTTGTTTGCATAACCAATCCCGGTTCAAAATACAATATGGACAACAGATATGTAAGCAAATTTAATTCACGGCACTGAGAACATTCGGCAGACACACTCAAACAATGGGGTCTCAACCACCCATACCGACTTACGATCTCCTTCTTGCTGTATCGTGGAAACTGTCGTCGACACCGGTCCACAAGCAGGGTATACCGGTTTTTAGCCACTGCTTCATACTGTGCGATGACACGGTTGAAGTAATCACTGTCTGGGCATGGCCAGTGTCGCGTGTCCGGTCTGCACAGCAGGGGAGCAAATGATTAGGAGCAGATAGAGGAATGCAAAAAAAAGAGTAAGTTAGGATGAAGGATGAAGGGAGAAAGAGAGAGAGTGAGCGAGTGTGAGAGGGAGAGAAAGAAGGAGTGACAGACAGAGAAAGACACAGAGCGACAGAGGAACAGAGATAGATAGAGATGGGGAGAGAGTGAAACATGGAAAAGAGACACCGGAAAACGCCCACACTTGCAGAGGTATACATAGGCAGGAGCAGAACGAATCCTCCAAATCGTGGTATTTGGAGAAAACACAGCAGAGAACCAAAAGATGAGCACCATCTTGGACAGTACTGCGGTCTCTCTCAGTCAGTTACGAACGATGAAGTGGATCCAGTAGAAAGGATCCAATGCATACTGACTACTGCAGAACAGAGCCAAATTCTGAAAAATGACTGGTGGTGGCCACAAAAGTACAGGTTCGGCTCAAAGAAGAAGGACTACAAACAACACTGATCATCCGGGTCCGTATCAACTTTATAGTCCACTATATGGTGATTTCCTCAGTATCAAGTGCCATACTTGCCACCCAGCCTGCCTGGCTTCAGCAAGATGTGAAGTTGAGTGATAACTTCTTGCACCACACTCCCTTGCAGAGGCTAACTGGGACTGCATATACAGGACAGCTAGGCTACACGGGTTTATTTCATTTTTTTACACCCACGGTATTTCCCCGAATATAAGTCGCAACATTCCACACTAAACTTCACGCCTAACAAAGGAGGTGCGACTTAAAATCGAGCATGACTTGCTATTGAAGTGAATGTATCAAAACCATAATGACATGGACCTGGAAATGGGCGTGCGACTTACAATCGAGTGCTACCTATGATCGGGGAGATACGGTATTACGTACAACACAGTTGAACACTTTAAGCCAGGCGTGACGTAGCACCGGGCTCCGCACCACTGTAACTACAGCAGACATACAAGTCGTAGGAACAGTGACGATTCATGCACAGCTTGAATACTACAGCTGGATACGCAATACACGGGTGTGGTGCGGTCGACAACCTGTCCGATTATCATTATCACAGTTCAGGTATGAATAATTATGAACACATTTGTGCCACGATGTTCCCCTCACCAAGTTGACACCATTTCTCAGCATTTACAGCAACAAAAGAGCTTTTTCCCCGCTTGAAAATGGGTTGTTGGGTCATGATCTGGGCAGCAACGGGTAGAGTTTGATCCAGTACGAGTTCGGGTATTTTTTTATCTGCATGAGTAGCACGTGCGGCTTATCGGGTGATTTTTGACGTAGCACAAGTACATTGGTGCACGGCATTGCATGATCAAGATCGCCGTAATGCGTTTGTACAGTGAGTGTGCGCTTCCGCTACGTAGAGAAGTGTACAGCATGCAAGTAGCTGTACTTCTTACATGCGCGGTTGCGGAAACACCGTACTGCAAACAATCCAACCAGTTATTAGGCACAAACTGGCACCCGTGTGCCTGCTGAACACCGTACTGCAAACACCCAAACCAGTTACTGTATAGCAGGAAATTTTCGGACGGAATTTGTTTTCGTACGATTTCGTACACGGCCTCTTTTGTACAAATTAATTCCGTACTAAACTTGTTCCCGTGAAGTTATGTGCACTATACATGCGTACCGCATGCGAACACGTGCATTTAGCAAGCAGCACTGTACGAAAATATAATCCGTACGAAAGGTCGAAATTCGGCTTTGTCCGATAATATTTCCGTCCCAACATGTCCTGCTATAAAGTATTAGGCACAAATTGGCGCCTGTGCACCTGCTCCCATTCCCGGGCAGCACGGGTACCCAACTACCCGATGACACCCCGTGTCATGATTTCCTATCTCACTGTCTGTCAAAACAATAGATGCTTCCCTCGCATAGACATGGTCGCGTAGATAAAAACACAGAGCGACACCCTTGCACCTGTGCTGTACGTGTTCCCTGCCGGAAACGTGGGTCTCCCTAGGCAGAGGGAGCGGAAGGGGGTGGGTGTGGGGGGGGGGGGGGGGATATATGAATGGAAAGAGAAAGAGAGTGAGAGGGAGAGATATAGAGATAGAAAGATGAGCACACATACATATGTACCCACTCACGCACACGTGCACACACATGCACACTTGCTCACGCATGCGTACTTGTACACGAATCAGAACGCATGCATGCACACGCACAAACTCACCCATCCACGCCCCCCCCCCCCCCCCACACACACACATACACACAAACACACACACTGGACTAGCTATCACAGATTTACATCAGGCTGTGGTATCACAAGGTTCTGACAAACTCTTCTGTAGAATCCATCTCACCTTAGTATACTGGCATATTTCTCCATCAAACTATCGATGTTGCTGCTCAGCTGCGAGTTTAGATGGTGACATTCCTGTAGAGCAGTGCAGCGTAGCTCCTCCGATGGCCAATCCCAGGATGACACCTGCATGCATAGCAAGATTATGTGTATTGTTTCAACAGCAGAACATCCAATACGTATCAGAAAATAGGGAGACCATCCGAGCAAGAAATATCCAAGGACACAAGAACTTAGTCAGTGGCGATGGCGACAAAGCTAATGTACCATTAATACCAAAAAACCATGTTTGAGAATGCATGGCACTTGTAACGAATTAATGGGACAAAATGGCGTATCGAGGTCACTGGCGTGGGGAATAAGATGACCCATAGGAATGAACTGAGTGCCTAGAGAAACATGCACCTTTAAAAACTGCTGTGTGTTTGTGTGTGTGTGTTTGTGTGTGTGTTTGTGCCCGTGATACAGAGACCTCAGGTCGGCAGCGCCATCAATGCCGCCCCTGCTCAGTAGTTTTCACGGTTGTCCTAGTCTCAGTACCATTGTCTTTCTTTATTATTTTCGAGCTGGGACTGTGAACATAGTAAAAAGTAATAATGATGATACTGTGCTGGTGTCCAACGGCAGAATGTGACATGGCAGCTCAGCATACTCAACTCTTCTGGAGATGAGCGGCTTTACCACAATGACAGTGCGAAGCATAACGAGATATAAATCGCCGTGCAAGGTGTAGCTGAAGACAGCTCACCTGGTACGAGATGGAGGTATAGTGTAAAGAAGAACGTCTCGGTCTCGCCTCTTACTCGGAATTCAGCTCTACAGTACTGTTGGGCGCCGAAGAACTGGGGGGGGGGGGGGGGGGCAGGGTTCTAGCCTAGCCCATTCTTATTTTTAGCGAACACAGTAGTTGTTCTTATTCGATGTGCAGTTTTACATGTACATTTATGCAGAGTTATACTTCTGAGTGTACATTATAGTGTGCATAACGGTTTCCGTTCTTATCTGCAAAACATCCAGCCTTGACCGTTCTTAAAAAGCAGTAAAATTCTAGCCTGGCCGTTCTTCAGCGCCTGACAGTACTGTGCACATCTGTCAGCGAAGCCGTTCTATTGATGTCTATGTGTGTGTGTGTGTGTGTGTGTGTGTGTGTTCGTGTGTGTGTGTGTGTGTGTGTGTGTGTGTGTGTGTGTGTGTGTGTTCGTGTGCGCATGGGTGTGGGTGAGTTTGTGCAAGGGGATCGCTATGCAAGAGAGACATGAGGGTGTCTTCAAAGTAAAACGTATTCTGGCTACGGAATGTTCTCACTTCAGAACACAAACGTTCCCCGGCACTGGTCCTTGAGAAGTACAATGGGTCCTGTTCACCACAACACTGCAAGGTGGTGTTCACGGAAGAGGCAGCAGCCGGCTCCGGGAACTTGGCCAGTGCCTGGTTCAGCTCATCTTCTGCAGTTTGCAAAGCGCTTCCAACCTGTATGGCACAAAGGTATGTGAGCATGTCATCCAATTGCACAAGCAATACGATAGACAAAATAGGAATTACCAGAAACAGTTTTTACATTACTTTCAACACGGACACTGAGCCAGTAAAATTAATAATTATTATAATTAATCAAAATGGAAGATATCACAGGGAAGCGAGGTATGAGTTAGGACTGCTCATCATCTTGTTACACTCGTGGATAGTTGCTTCATAACTCGTTTCCATGTGATTTCTTCCATTTTAATTGTATTAGTTTTGTTAGGTACATCCTCCCATACTACCTACGTTTCCCAAGCTGGCCTGCATGCACTTTTAACTCGGCTATTCATGCTCTGCTCATATACCGTAAAGTCGTGGATAAAAGCCGGGCTTATAAGCACATAAGCCGCTTTCTGCATCAGGCTTTAATGCAAACCAGGCTTGTATGCAAACCATGCTTATGCACCACTGATATTTTGCCAGGCTTGTATGCACGCTTCTACGTGCGACACGCGTAGATCTACCACTGACTACCGGTATGTCGGCAGTTTTATGCACCGTACATAGCGCATGCACTCCTGACCTACCCGATCCGCGCTTGCATAGAAGCCAGGCTTCTACGAGCGACAGGCTTATATCCATTTGTCCCGTTTGATTTTCAGGCTTCTATCCGCGATGTGCTTGTATGCAAACCCGGCTTTTATCCGCGACTTTACGGTAGCCGTTATCCAGCAACTGTGGATCAGAAACCGGGAATGCTCTTTTCCAATTTGCCCTCGACAGGAGATGGCAATTGCTCAGGGAATGGAGTGAGTATCAATTCCAGCAACTTGTCAAAGACATTCCGTAGTAGCTTCTGGCATAGCCAGGACCCACAACACAGTATTTCAGATTTGTGAGTGCAGGTCATGGGCCGGGCAATAACCACTCTACTGATCACAAGTGATAGTTGACGTAGCATCAGCTCAGTGGGCCACATCAGCAGTCGCTCATACGTAGCACATGACTTATCAACCACTGGCTCAGCTCCATGGAATATGTTGCTTGTATGATATAAAGAATGTGCATGGCAAGGGTCCTAAGTTGGTAACTCTTTTTTTCAAAAATAAATAAATAATAGGCACTAAATGCAATGTGGTAAAAAGACTTGTATAGACTGCACGACACGGTTCAGTACAAAGCAATTTGCTACAGTCCAAACTCACATCATCGGTCAGAGCTTTCAACGACTCGACTGATTTCTTCAGGGCGGCGCTATCGGTGCGAAGCATAAGCCGAGCACCGTCCTCTCCCAACTGCGATACCAGGCTGCACTGTCTCTGTAGGGATTCGTGAACGCCCAGGACATGAGTTGTGGCCAGGATGACCATGTCACGAGTGTTCTCCGTACTCTCACAGCCATGTGCTGTGCTGGAACGCTGTGCTTGCGGGGACGCATGCGGATGAAGTACGTCCTCCGCTAGCGACGGTGCCTGTGCATGTGCATGCCACCATTGGCAGTACTCCATTATTGAAGCATCTGAGTACAAAGTGAAAGTGCAATAATCAAAAATGGGCATAATAAAGCAGGAAGAAGTCAAATTAAACGTGATTTGATCACTTCCGGAATGGTATCAGGTTACCATGTTTTCCGGAGTATAAGCCGCACTAGAGTATGACCCCACCCCCCGCACGCGAATATTTTTGCCACGAAATACGGACATTTACCCTATTTATCGCCGCTAATTCGATCCTCGGAGTGTAAGCTGCACCCCTCCCCCCCCCCCCCCCCCCCTGTTAAAGTGAATTTTGAGTGATCAAAGTGCGGCTTGTACTCCGGAAAATACTGCAGTGGATATGTTTGTAAACGACACCTATGAACGTGCCTCGGATCAAATGCAGATACTCAATGAGTGTGCCTGCTTTCAAAGTTCCTCAATGGAACACTCAAGGACTCTGATGGACACCCTTCATCATTTTAAAGTATTAACCTGATCAGCATGAAAATGTACATAGCGCGCTGCCTTGCTGCTTTGTGCCGTCATATGGTGTGTGCTTTTTTGTAAAAAAAATAAGACGATGTAAACCTCTCACAAACCTACCATCCGTATTGCGCACAATCTGCATATGTGTGGTGGTGCTTGAAGCGTTCGCGTCTCGGCAAGCCGTCTTGAGCAGCTCCAGCTCCTTGCGGTACACTGCACGGTGCTCGGCGCAGAGGAACTTCTCGTGAGATGCTTTCGCCGCCTAAGTTCAAACGAAAAACAGACGGAGGACTTGGTGAGGTCTCTTTCGCGGGCTGTAACGGCATTTGATCAAATGCAATGTGATGCTGAAAGGGCGAACACACTCTTCACCACAAAAATGTTGACCAGCAGGTCAAAGAGAAAGATCTGGCAATCGATCTCAAATATCACTCTCTCTTACATGTGGCTTATACGCAAATGTCAGCAAAATACGAATTGTTAGCTGGGGGGGGGGGGGGGGGAGCAAGAACGTTGTGCAGCTAGCCATCTGGAGAATACGGGCAGATGATCTTGCGATGGTGTGCGTAAGAAGAACGACTACGCGCTGACTGTATGCACTAATCTATGTGGTGCAAGTGCACGCTCACTGTATGAAGACACTGTGTTACACACTGGAATATGCAACGCCATCTATCAGTGTGCTCATACCATGTCAACACAATCCTGATAGAATACCTGCGCTACCCGGACAGAAAAGCCTGAGCTCAGTGCCCAATCAAATCCCTACCCATCGCAGCCGTAACATGAACTCACCTCTTTCATACCCTTTGCTTGCTTTCCACCGAGCTCCGATGCACTCTTGTGTCTTGTGAGTGCCGCTTGTGCGCTCTCATAGTCAGCTTTTTGCAGGAACGCAAAACTGTGCGCACTCTTCGCACCGGAGTTGCCAGCTAGCAGTGAACGGATGTATACTCCTGTGTGAGTAATAATCAAAAGAATTCAGGAACAGCTACACATGAAGATCTGGAATACACAACCTGCTAAATCCATTTCATCCTTTCCGGTTAATGGCCAAAAAAGGATTCATTTTACATGCGGTTTGAATATAAATTCATAGTTGAGTTCCAGTTTTGAAATGGTTCTAGTCAGATTTGGACTGTGAAATTTTGCTTGCTGGTTCTCGTAGAACTTTTGAATGTGCCGAGCTGAAAATCGTATTTTCTCAAATTTGGCGCTTGTCGGGTTTTGCGTCTCAGCTTTTCACATGTGTAAAAAATCACTCATATTGGTTGCGACCGCCCCAGTATGCGATTGTTTGGTAAAGCATTCCAGTTCTGCCATATCCATACCATGATAATGCAGACCATGCAGGAGTTTCTGAAGGCAAAAATCCTGGTTTGGCTGATCTTGGCACCCCGTTCTCCGGCGTACCTTTTGACCTTCGTCTCTACCTTTGCAGTTCATGGCCGTGCTCTTGGGCGACCCACTGTTGCTTTTCCCATTCTTAGGTTCCGCCCTCGCACGCGCGGTAATGTAATTGGGCTTGTAAGGAGATTCTACGTCTACATGCGAAATCAAACAAAAACGGGTGCATACTAGGCGTCCCAAGCTCTCTCGTGGCTGCAAATTGTCAAACTTCAAGGAGGGAATGCACATAGTCAATCTGCCTCTGAAGCTGCCACACTACCTGTCACCAGCTTCACCGGCTCTTAGTACTATAAGACATGATGGCTTCACCAGTGGTTGCTCTCCATTGAACTTGATGCAGAGCCGTGGCAAATCTTTCCACCTCATTATCCAGGTAGTGAGAAATAAAAAAACACTTTTTTGCCTAGGTCATCAAGGTGGCAGACAGTGTCGTATTACCGGTATACCCTCGCATGCAAAGAGACAGTTTATTCCCGTAGCTATGCAGAAGACGTTACTTCAGTAACGTCTGGCGCTAGCCAGGGTCCACACAGCTTTAATTTTGTATTTGTGTGTTTGTTTGTTTGTTTGTGTGTTTGTGTCACGCCTGGCGCTATCCCGTATCTGTCCCGTACCGTACCATCAAACACAGCTGGCCACATACAGCTGCCCGCAATATTCAAATAGGGCTTTCAAACGCAAGATCATAACGTGAAGCAACTTGGAAGAATGGGCATGAATGTAAAGTGTATGGGGGAATGCATGTAGGGCGATAGTGCGGGTTCGAATCCAAGGATATGCCTGAAAAAATAGGAGAATTGAAAAATTTATAACATCCCTATGCTTTTTTTGCCGTCATCAAGGCGGTAGACGGTGTCGTATTACCCTCGATCGTACCTGTCCCGTACCTATCCCGTGCCGTACCATCAAAGACGGCTGGCCACAATGCATATTCAAATAGGGCTTTCAAATACAAGATCATAACGTGAAGCAACTTGGAAGAATTAGTATGTATACGAAGTTTATCGGGGGATGCATGCAGGGCGCGCGATAGTGCGGATTCGAATCCCAGGTTATGTCTTAAAAAAAGCATTTTTTTAAAGAATTTATAACATGCCTATCCTTTTTTTTTGTCTAGGTCATCAAGGCAAAAAAGCATAGCGTAGGGCCCTGAGCTTCCAAGCTCTCTCGTTTATTTTGCTTAGGGCCCTGCGCTATGCTTTTTTGCCTAGCTCATCATGCATGTTATTCGAACAGATGGAAACTTTTCGCAATCCAATGATGTAGCCGATCAGTTTGTTGTGGTATGGTCGGGCATTGTAGCCTCCATGGTCGACATAAAACACTATAAGACCGCAACGAAGTTGGGGCCAAAGAGAAAGTTCCATCAGTTCTAGCAACATGCATGGTGAGCTAGGCAAAAAACCATAGCGTAGGGCCCTGAGCTTCCAAGCTCTCTCGTTGCTAGTGATCATTGGGATACCGGAAGCTTACCATGGCAAGTAGTATTCCTCCCTGCAGACAAGCTTTCACGGCTTCCACTTGGTGAAAAATACCTTATCCGAAACAGCAGAAATTAGGCAGTTTGTGAGACGCGATCACGGATCGAGATCATTCCCATTTGCGGAAAGCCTGAAAACACGTGGTCCGAAGTTATTTTGCCACTCTACAGCCTTTGCTTGTGCTGTTTTCTTCTCCTGTTTGGTGTTGTGTAGATAAATGCATGGCCACAATACTCCTCTCTTTCTTGATAGCAATTGACTGCAGGCTTAGCATTACCACCTTCCACAACTAACTGTACATGCTACAAAAGGAAAGTCGGACCACTGTTGCTGAGAGCTCATATGGACTTCGTAATGAGTCCACGAGAAATTCTAGTTTCTTTTTCGAGCATGCTGGCCTGGGCTGGACTCGGCAGAGGCAGGTCTTTGGAATGCGCTCTGTTCCCAGCCGCTCCTTCATCCTGGTCCAACTTTATCAATGAATCGGTGTATACTTCAGTATAGCTACATCTTGTGGAGATGCTATTGCCAGAGCCTGAGGCATAATGAGAAAACTCCTCTTCGTCTGTCTCCTGCATGATTTCTAAAAAAAACATCTACTCCACGTAAATCTTCATTTCGGATTCGTGGCCATCTACATGACTGTATTGCCGTGGCCAAAGAAAACTGACCAACAAGTCAAAACTCAGACTGAAGTAGTTCCACGTTTCCTTTTCAATTCCAAAATCAATACCACCGTACATCTTGCACCGCCCAAAAACCCATCCGAGCGCCGCACGGGTGCTGCTTTTGGCATATCATGGGTCGGATTTCTTTGCTTACGACTGTACATGCCAGTACATTTGCCGGTACGTACCTCACCGCTGATCGTGATAGGTATAGGCAGCTTGTTTATCAGTGTAGTTAGGTTTTTTTGTTTTGTTTTTGATGCAGCTGCCTTTTTTTCCCCGTTTATGTCTTTCCCTCAAACCAGTGATTATTATTATTAAATTTTGAATGCCTTATGACACACCTGACGCCCCTACGACCAGATTGGTTATGGGTTATACATAAATACCTCACTGCATTGCTGCATACAGCGAACAAAGTGCTAAACGTGTTACGTGTCCACAAAGTCATGTACCGGTGGTATGGTATGGTATGGCATTGATTTATTTGAATTCGGTATCTCAACAGTACAATGTACAACTTGGGAAGCTCCGGTATCTGTACAAAGCGTTCCAGCTGCACGCATGTCAGGCCCAATGAACGATGAAGGTTGGATCTCATGATTGCATGTAGCCGATTGTTGCGAACAACCAGGGGTTTCCCCGATATTATCCACTATGCAACTGGTAATGCCGCTCAAACCTCACATAATGCTTGTTTTGTGCCAATCTAATGCTGCATAATGCTCTGCTGTTCGGATAGTCTCATAATGCTGAACATAATGCCGGCATTAGCCGCTGGACCCCATATGGGAGTAGATGGGGAAAAAACAATCTCTTTCTTGTTTCTCCACAACAATGAATTTCATAGTACAGTCGACTCCTGATATAACGAACACCATTGCGCATGAGAATTTATTCTTTTTAGCCGAATTTCGTTTCTAACAGAAATGTACTCGCACTATGCAAGCAGCAAGTCTTGGCTGACGTGTGTGGCCCATGACAGCATGAGTGCACTCTGTTTTCTACATTTTTGGGTGACGAGAAACATAGAAATAAAAACTTGCGAATTGTCACCATAGTTTAGAGTACAATACTTCTTTGACTGCATGAAACGGCCGCTAGACATTTTTTTACTGGGGCATAACGTTATCGGCCTCTTGTACGGCCAACAAAACATCATTTTCCACAGAGTGAGAAGCAGTGTGATAATTTTAATTTCTAAAGCCAAGAGAGCAACCGACCGAATCAACTCAAGCTTGGATAAGCGCTTCGGCAGCCACCATAGTGGCTTTTCTTCACATCGTGTGTGTGCTACTGGAAAAGCATAGATTCCCGTACTTGTCCGGCGTTAACGTTGCGGACAAAATATTATTTTTATACGCGTCCACAAAGTAGTACAGTACACTGAAATGGAAAGGACGCTCACCTCTGTCAGTCCTACTGGGCCCAGCGGCGGCAGGCCTAGGCTTTCGCTGCATTTCAACTTCGGCTGAAGTGTGTCCAGACCAGCACGATAATGGGAGTCACTCAAACAAAGGAGTTCCGCCGATGCAGCTGGGGGTTGGAACTAGTTACTTAGAAGTGCAAACGACGTGACGTGCCCGAATGTGCCGTTCTGGAGTTCGCCGGCCCGGTGCGCGCAATGAATGGAAACCGTTCAAACGAAACCCTTCCGTAGAGCCTAGACCATGTAGACTACGTAGAGTAGATTGGAGTCGAGAGTAGAGCCTAGACTACGGTAGTCGATAAACTTACTATTAGTAGATGTAGTCATATCCCTGAAGATGCCCTCTTGGGCGAAAATTTGGAAAGGAGTTTGAAGTTTGGTTTTGAGAGATTTGGAGAGACTTTAATTTTTTTTTGTAGCCAAGGATTTGGTGTGGCCGTGGGCGGTGAAAGAAAATAATTAATTAGAAATACGTAGAGTAGTACTTACTTTTTCGTAGTGGGTCGACGCGGCCACGCGGCGGCGGTTGGGAAGAGTCAAGACAGGGAGTTGTAAAAATAATATCAGTCTTTTAGTACTCCAGGTAACGAAAAATATTTTCGTGACCTGCTCTGTTTCAGTCGCGCTTTGACGGATCTTCGGAGCAAAGGGTCAGGTGGATTCTGCCGGCAGAAAAAATGGCAGAATTCGGTACTTTTTCTGGTAAGTAATAGTTTCATGCATGTTTGGTACATGTACAGTTGAACATCGATTATCCGCACATCGACTATCCGACCATTCGATCATCCGTAACAGTTTTTTTGGGCGCACGTGCCGTAGAGTACGCACTGTGCATGTAGTGAGCCATTCAAAAAATACGAAAATTTTGAAAAGTAAAAAGTAAAAAGGTCGTGCGGCTAGTAATAACCACTGAAAGTGTGTGAGTGACAGTTTTTTCTTATCCGGAACATTTGCCTTATGTGAACACCGCCTGACAGTTGTCTGCCCAGAGGTGGTCGGATAATCGATGTTCAACTGTACATGTACAATGTATGTGGATAAAAATTAAATTTAAAAAATTGAGCAGAATTTGAGGAATTGCCCGCCATAAGGTTTGTATGGTTCTGCCAATTTCATTGCTTTTCAAGCAGAATCCGCCGGTCCCTATCGACGGAGCAACTGCTACTTTCGTTACTCTATCCCCGACGGTCGCGCAGCCCTAGCGAGGGTGCACCATTATGGCCACTTGTGCACACTGAGCATTGCACATCGTGTAAGGCGCAAAAAGTTACTTGAGCCTACATTGTAATTCGTCGAAAATCGATGTTTTAGTAACTCTAAAGCGTGCATGTACATGTAAATGTACACTGTATTACGAGCGGTGAATTCAAGTACTGCTTTGAACCGAATTCTGACTTTGGGGCTCATAATAATTTTGGCCGAATTTGGACATTCTCTAAGGGCGCGTTCAAATTGTAACTCTTTGTCTTTTCAAGGAGTTTCGTTTTTCTGAAGAGGTGGTCTAATTGGCCTCTTCAGAAAAACGAAGGTCCTCGAAACTCATCCGATGGGAAGGTGGATTAGTTTCGAAGAGTTTGGATTAGCTAGGTCACGTGGTACGTGGAGATGGTCGATCTGATCTGACGTGCATCGCCATGACAATTCCACTGAAAAACTCTAAAAATGATAGAAACTGTTCTTATGGGACACTTCAACTAATCCGTCTTTATAAAATTTGTTTGAACAGTTGGTGAAGACAATTCGAATGCGGCCTAAGCCGATCGAAAAGCCGACGAGGCGAACAAAATGGGCCGATTTGGGGGGGGGGGGGCTCACACACACACACACACACACACACACACACACACACACACACACACACACACACACACACACACACACACACACGAGCAAACATCCACGCATACATCTACAGGCCCAAGAAGAAAAAGACATAGCATCTTGGAACGCTGCGGAACACTATTCTTACTACGACGTGCAGACGGGAGACTAAGTGAGAAAAAAACAACCGAATGATCATTTCTCCACATCACCAATGACACATCGCCACACAGCTAACACAACCAGTAGAAATGGAGATAACCAACCATAAGCAGGGAAAAACATTTATATCACACAGGTATATGACTCGAACATCTCCAGCACAACAGGCGACTGGCCAATCATGTGAACTAAACTGACTAAAAAAATGTTTTCTTTTTGATGAGGAATAAGCCCTTCCGCGGAATATGTAGAAGAACCAAACACACATGCTCACATCAATTCTACTCGTTGAACTAATGGCGGTAGCCTACGTTTGAAAAAGATTAAAATACAGGAAGAACAAAGAAAACCGTGACAAGCGCAACGCTTCGCATTCTCATCGACACTCACACCCACCGGAATTCGGAATGACAAGCGTGTCGAAGTAGATCATCCCACTGTCCATGTATGGAGTAGGAGAGGAATCCATGGAAGCGTTGTCGACGTCATCTTCGATTGCATACACGATCCATCTGCCCTCGAGTGCGTCCAAGGATGGTACGCACATGGGCTGAAGTATACATTCAGCCTCATTGAGAGAATGACGATCAGATATAGCAGCACGGCGAGCCACATCACCACATTTACCACTGATGGAGTCAAACTTACATGATCCATTGCAAACACCCAAATCAATATTGGATGCGCTTGCCTCCAGTAGGATGAGTGGTGAGACAAAAGCGGTCATTGATCCTATGCTTACCCGCCATGGCTTGCGATAACACTCCTGGCCAGGACAGTGAGGAAATGTGGAGGGCCGCCTCTGCACCTTCGACGGCGGCACACCGGAGCAGAACAGTGAACCGGTGACGGGATGGCCTCGTACGTACACCAACGAAGAGTCGTTTCCACCTGTAACATTCCAGTCTGTTTGCTTTAGGTGCTGACATGTCTTACAATCTAGGTGTGCCTTGAACATTAACTTCAGATCATCATTTGCAGTCACGTTCGTCAGCTTTGGTAAAAGGTCAGTCACGTTAAACGTGAACACTTCATGCACTGCGCCGAACGTACCTTGGGAAATGCTACCGCAGTCGATCAAGCGCCGGATCCCGCCAAACGGACTAAACTCAGTATCTCTAGACATGTAGAGTACGACCGTCGCATTTGCTGTGATGCTGAGAGATTGCGATGAGAGGTTCTTGCCACGGTCAGAGCACAGAGAACTGGATAAATTAAATACCGCTTGGACTCTCAACAGTACATTCTTGATGGTGGTAGTTCCCTCAAGGTGACGTGCCTGAAATGTGAGAGGGAACTGATGTCCATGGTCCTGCTGTGGCAGGCTGCTAGGTGTGACTATGTGCAGGGTTTTGATATGGGAGCATTTATTCAGGCCTAGTTCGTTCAGTGCTGGCATCTGACCTCTGGTCGCCCACTTCTCCTTTAGTTGTCGTGATAAGCTGACGACTATGGGCGGCAGTCGGGCCACGTCGAGCCGTTGATTTACAGGTTTCGCGTTATGCACGCGGAAGCGAGCTCCCCAACCGTCAGTTATCTTCGGTCGCACTGGCACGTCTTTGAACGATTCCTGGAGGCGGTTGCCGCTTTCCACAGTAGCTGTGTAAAGTGGAAGACACAGGAGCACCGTCCAAGACTTGAACATTGACACAGACCATTTCCATTTCCTTCTGCTGCCCGTGGTATGACGGCATTCTCGACGCTTCATTGTTGTGTCAGCGAAGCCTCTGCAGTCGGAAATACCAACCGGAGGCTCAAGAACAACAAGGAACAAAACACGCTACCTTCAAGAGTGCGTTACGAGACCAAATAAACGTTGTTGGTACTTCTCAAACACCACGGAGTAACGAAGCGCGCTCAGGAGGTCTTGATGGTGAATCCTGCCCGAGCCTGCAGCCCAAGGGCCGTAGGCCCCAGGGCTGCAGGCAACTTACGGGACAAGATTCAGCCATCATGTCTCATGACAGACAGAGCGTGATGGATTTGATTTCTTACAGCACGAAGCAACATAATTATTGGGGAAGGTCAAAGGTCCAATTTTTACGTTGATGCCCCAACACCGACTCTGTCTCTGACAAGAAATCCACCGTCCGTTGTCGGAGTAGTCGGACTAGCTGTTCCCACTCAACCATGTCAACGGTGGGCAGTAGTACAGTGTACTAATACTGTGTAGTAGTAGTAGGCGCTCGCTAGGCTTGTCTGTTCATACACGTACACTTTGGTACACAGCTGTGCTAGATCGATTGTCACCCATTTCAGCGCCGCTCATTTCCGCTGCTGTACATTTCAGCGCCCTAATGGTAGTATTAGTGAGGTTTTGCATTCCGAATTTCGGTTCGGCGTTCTTCGGTCTTTTGTCGAACATCCAAATGTCGAATTTTCGCACCAACGTTTGTTTTGCAAGTCGAAAATGATGTGTTTTCATTTCGTGAGCCCCAGCATCAGCAACGTCCTGTCCCGTGCTCCTTTTCTTGCTGATTCCAACGAACTTTGATCGCCCAAAGAGTCGAGGTCCAAACCTGCCTCCTCAGTCGCCTCAGAAAAACCAACTCCATGGCCAAGTCAAATTTTATGCGTGTCGCCATAGTCTTTTCAGCCACACAGAAGACGGTGAGGACACTCCAGGCGAAAGAGAATCGACAGGCAGTGGAGAGGAGCAATCAGAGGTAGCTGACGATGCTATGTCGCCAAAGACGCCTGCCAAGCGATGCCGAGATAAGAAACCTCTTTGAATAAATCACGCGCTAGCGCTCTTCTACAAGAAAATGCATCCGAAAAATATTTTCGGCAAAGTGAGCTTTTTCCGAACAAACACTCCGAATCTTCGTGTGCATTTTCGACCTCGCTCCCGCGTGCCGAATCTTTTTGCCGAATTTCGGAATGCAAAACCTCACTGTCAGCGCCACCTTTACCTTTCGATTCTCACCTGAGCGCAAGGACAAACAATCATGTCGATGGATGGCACAATCGATTAGCGGCAGTTGTCGGCAAGGTTCATCCAAATAAATTAGTGGCGTCTCATACGGGAGCTGCAAAAGGAGCAGGCCACGACGCAAACGTTGCTCCAACAGGCCAGCAAACCCATCGAGTCCGTCGCAAATATAAGGAACTTAACGCCCGCATTGAAACCTTACAACGCCGGCTCGTTACGCCAAGGGAATTCCTTTCTGGTGTTGGACATAATTTAATCCATTGAAATGTGAAAATCTGTATAAATTTTGAATTGCCTTCGAAATGAGTTTCGTTACTTTGTGTGCTTTACATAGGGATCATGCTAAAATGAGCTTGCGCTCAAATGAGATTG